GCGGCTGGCCGACTGCGGATCGGCGGCAATTTTGCCGGAGTTTCATCGCGGCCTCAAGTTATAACCCGCCGGAGTGTTTTCAGAATTGCAGATATATTGAAGGGATTTTGGATTCGATTCGAAGTTTAATGTGCATATACGGCCGTGTTTTGTCCTAATAAGCTGCTATGCCAGACCATTCCCATTGGTTTTGGAACGGTTTGATCAAAATTGTATATAATGAGATTAAAATGAATGAGTTTCTTAATTGAAACTAAAATCGATAAATTTTTATTGTATTGGGATTAGTATTGATTTTTTTTTCTTCTTATAGTATATATACTCTATCTGTCCAGTTAAAAAAATATATATTTTTATTTCATTAAATATCGTATTTTTTTTTTACAAATACTCATATTTTATCATCATATAATTATTTTTATACTATTTTTAATTACTCATTATAATTAAAATACTACTTCTTTCCTTCGTCCTAGAATTATAGTCTGGGTTATGTTTGAGATTTAAGGAATATTTGATATTATATTAGTAGTGGATAAAAAGTATGGATAAAATATTTTTTTGCCCTTGTGAGTGTATTAGTGTAAAAAGTAATGACAATTGTGTAATAATAATGAAAAAATAACGGTAGTTTTATAATGATATAGTTATTTATGGAAATGAGACTATTGTTTTGGGACGAACAAAAATGATAAACAAGACTATTATATTGAGACGGAACTGGTAATTTTTAAATTTTGCGCGAGGAGTACATAATATTACATTAGTTTTAATTATTACTACATTATTTTAATATTATATAGGATAGAATATATTAATATTATATCAAATACAAATATTAGAAAAATAAAATAAAATGCAAGTACAAATTTTATTTTATATTAAAATATAAAAATCATCAAATGCTTGTCAATAATATTGTTTTAAAATGATGAATATTGTATAAGTATATTTTGATTTAATATTTAAATAAATAAAAGTTATATGAAATTTGGATACTTATTTAAAATAAATTAGAAATATAATATAAGTGGAATAGTCTTTTGACTCTTTTCAGAGGAAAATAATAATTGACCGGAGGTGTCTGCGTCACGTGACGGGCTGATGCACGTGGGTCTTTTACGTGGATAATTTATTTTTTATATTTGTAAATTTTATTTTTTTATATTTTAAAATAAAAAAATATCTACATGTCCGTCACGTAGTGTTGACTTAGTTAACATGTGTCCGCCAACTTGCCACGCAGGTGCCACATAGATATCAATGACTAAATGTGCGAAAATTTTTCACTTATGGGACTATTTTAAGATAACCTTCAATTGCGAGACTATTTTCAGTAAAAAAATAGTATATTTGTAATGGAATTCCGTTCTTAAAGTTTACGTAACTAACGTAATTTCATCCCTAATTTCATCTCTAATATCATTAGTAACGGAAAAATGGATTTAAGAACTAAAAAAATCTCGTTACAAAATTGATATGTTTTTGTAGTGTTTAAGATAGTCTTCAATTACCAAACTATTTTAAGATAACATTCAATTGCGAGATTAAAATGATAAAAAAGTTTAGTTTCGGGATTTAACAAAAAAACAGTTTACCTCTATTTAATTTCACTATCACTACAAAAAAAAATAGTATATTTGTAACGGAATTTCGTTCCTAAAGTTCACATAGCTAACCTAATTTCATCTCTAATTCCATCTCTAATATCATTAGTAACGAAAAAAGTGAATTTAGGAACGAAAAAATCTCGTTACAAAATTGATAATTTCTTATAGTGTATTAATATGTAATTATGAAATTTTGCAAAATGTAATAGGTAAGATGAAGAGGTTGGGGGAGACATTCGATGCTTTTTTTGAGAAAATTATAGACGACCATGTCGGGAATGTTAAGGTTAAGGAGAATGGAAGTGGAGAGGATTTTGTTGGTACGATGATGGGAATTATGGAGTCGGGTGAAGCTACCTTCGAATTTGATCGACGCCATGTTAAAGCTGTCTTGTTGGTAATTCCTTTTATTATTAATATTATTATATTTTTTGGAGGTTTTTTTTTTATCATGAAATTCAAGAAAAATATATTATTTTATTTTATTTTATAAAATACTAGCTAGTTTTAAAGAATTCTTAAAATAACAAAAAAATAAAATAAAATTGTATTTGATATATATATATATGTATATATATATGTTTGGCAAAATTGTACATAAAACGTAAATCTGCCTATACTTTAAAAAAAAATTGCATTGCGTCCCCTTATATTTAAAAAAAAAAAATTGTATGAAATTCCTACCATGTCAAAAATAAATATATAAATAGATGAAAAATTATTTTCTCATAAAAAATGTTATATATATATAAAGAAATTTCATTGAACGTTTTTTAAAATACAAGGATGCCATACAATTTTAAAGTAAGGGGATTTATGCTGAGTTTCAAGTTTAAAAAAATATCTATGCAATAGAGCCTAACATACCAGACGTGACTTTGTTTACTTAGGGTGTGTTTGTTTGGGGGATTGGATTGGATTTACACTATTCATTCAATTTTTTCCTCCCAAAAATATCAAATCAAACACCTATTTTTCATTTTTTATATTATACTAAAAATCAATTTTACATTCAAAACATCACATCAACACTTATTTATATCACATCATACAACTATTCAAATTCAAAATTTTTACTATTTAAATCCCAACTCAAAATTCAAACCCTCAAACAAACACACCCTGTGTTTCTAGGTGATACAATCTACTATAAGTATTATTTAAAAATTCAATATACACACTTGTAAATAAAATGCACAATATATTATATTTTATCGACTCACAAAAAATTAACAATTCAACATAAAATATCATTTTTTATATTATCAACACAACTTCTCGTCCCTAACATAGAAAAATATATTCATCCAAAAATACAAAATAAACAAACCAGTAATATTTTGCAGGATTTATTGATTGCTGGAATGGATACTTCAGCAGCAGCAATAGAATGGGCAATGGTAGAACTCATAAGGCATCCACAGGTCATGAAGAAACTTCAAAATGAATTGGAATCCGTCGTCGGGCCCGACAATTTTGTCGAAGAGTCGCATCTCGACAAGCTCAAATATTTGGATTGTATAGTAAAAGAATCTCAAAGGCTCCATCCCGTCGGGCCATTATTAATCCCTCACGAATCCATCGAGGATTGCATCCTCGACGGTTTCCACGTACCAAAAGGAACTCGAGTCCTAGTGAACATATGGGCTATAGGTAGGGACCCGAATGTTTGGTCAAATCCCGAGAAATTTTCCCCCGAGAGGTTCATTGGAAGCAATATCGACCTTAGGGGCCGCGATTTTGAACTCATACCATTTGGGTCGGGGCGAAGAGGGTGTCCCGGATTGCAATTGGGGCTTACGGTTTATAAATTAGTTTTGGCGCAACTTGTTCATTGCTTTGATTGGAAGCTTCCGGATGGCGCGAAGCCGAGCGAGATGGACATGTCCGAACACTTTGGTTTGGTCTTGGCAAAAGCCGAGCATCTTATTGCCATTCCTACTTACCGATTAAAAATACAGTGAATCGCGCGGATTCGAGACCTTTAAGAATATATGATATTTGTAGAAGTAAATAAGACTATTGTGTTGCTTTTATGTCTTTGTTATTTGGTGCTTATGTAATACTAACTCTGTCCGCAATAAATAAATATATCTATTTTAATATTTTCCCTCGTAGAATGCAATTAAGCTAATATTGTCTTGGGATAAAGGGTAATGTTCTAATCAAATATAAATAGATAAATTAGTGCACTCTATTTTGTAATATAAGCTAATAATGTCTTGGATATTATAAAGATAATTTTGTGTTTATTTATTTTTATTTAAAAGTAATAATGTGATAATAAAATATGAGTATTTTTATAATTTTGTGGGATATAACTTTATTAAAAAGAAAACAAAAAATTTGTTTGATAAAATTAAAATAGAAAAATAATTTTTTTTGAATGGATGAAAGAAGTATTAGATATGTAAATTGTGTCCCTAATATAATAAATAATATTTGTATTAAATTGTTGATATTTTATAAGTAGATATAATATAATATATATTATGTATATTATATATATTATACTCCTCCGTCTCACTTCCCGTGTTCACCTCTGTATGTTCCACTTATTCTGTCACTTTTTATTTTTAAAAAGAATTATACACTTTAATATCAATTTAAATTTTTTATTTATATATATCTTTTTTAAAATTTAAATAGATTAACTAGTTATTATAATTTAAAATTAATTTTATTAATATATTTTTAATTATTTACTAATTATACTCTTTTAAATTTTCGTGTCTATTGTAAAAAGACATGATAGTTGAGAAGGAGAAAATATTTTTTAAGATAATAATCATATCAGTAAAAAAATTGATTAGACGAGCGCACCCCAATTTCTATACAACAAACAAGACCTCCGTTGAGTTTTGGCAAGGGTGTGTTTGTTTGGGGATTGTACTGGATTCATACTATTCATTCAATTTTTTTCCCCCAAAAACATCAAGTCAAACACCTATTTTTCATTTTTTATATTATACTAAAAATTAATTTCACATTCAAAACATCACATCAACACCTGTTTATATCCCATCATACAACTATTCAAATTCAAAATTTTTACTATTCAAATTTCAACTCAAAATCCAAACCCCAAAAAAAACACACACTCGATTCCCCAATATCTATTTAAGGAGGAAAATTCTTTTTTTAATAATTCCGAATTCTCACATTATTTAAAAAAAAAAAAAAACTACGAAAATCTTCACACTTTTGTTTTTGCCATGGCATGATATATATTATAAGCATCAAAATATATATACAAAAGACATAAATACACAGGTACATTATACATACAAAAAGCACAGCAATGGTGTTAGCCATAAGCTTGAAGATCTACAAAAACAACTTGGACACTTTTTCTCTTCGAACAAATATCATCAAACCATTTCTTCAAGTTCAACTCATCTTGTTCGCATATCTCCTCTTAGGCAAATGGAACGTCTTCTTGAGAAATCGATTCGCGATGCGATCGTTCCGATTGCAAAGCACCCTCAAGATTGTATTCGGATCCGACCTATTCCATTTCCCCGTCGTCGGGGGCATAGTAATCCTCGGCTTCGAGCTCACAACGCCGATCCCGCAAGCTTCGGTCGCGGCGCTCTTAAAATTCTCGACTAATTGCTCGGTGGATTCCTTCATTACCGCGACCACTCCATTCGCCGCCTCTGCTTCTTTGTCGACCATATCTTTCGGCAACATGCACTCGCCGTGTGCGTAGAATACGCGCTTCAAGCTCTCGAGATCCTCCTCGATCATCGGATGATCCAATTGCGAGAAAACCCTAGAATTTCCCCCGGCTAGAAGCACGCGTAGAAACGCCTCGAACGAAGCCCTCATCACTTCCTTCAACGCGAGCGCTTGGACTTGTTGAGCGACGATCGTGCGTAAAAGCGTAATATTTTGCTCGAGAATTCGCAACGCTAGCGTGATGCGCGCTTTCGCGACGTTCCTAACGTAAAGGCTTCCGTAGAAGACGACGTAGGAGTCCAAGAAAATTAGGCGATAAGCGGCGACTTCGCACACGTGATGAGAGGCTACTTGAGTCGCCGAGTAAGTTTGATCGAAATAAGGGATTTCGGATGGTCTTCGAGAGCTTCCCAAGTGATTTTTCGATTGAGTGACCTTAGAGGAGGAGGCCGAGGTTAGCGATTTCTCGAGTGAGTGAAGCTGCGCGTCGAGGTAGGACAATGTGTTGATTCGGATGTAAAGGCGTTGAGTTCCGCGGCTCGTCCACAGATTTGGATTTTTGCCGTCATTCGATAGACACCGGAATGGGTCTTCTAACCCCACGCCGCATGCCGTTTTCTTCCACAGTTTAAAAAGCTTTGAGTCATGGCAGCATCGCGTTAGCGGCGGAAGCGTCGGGAGATAACTTTGTTTAGCTCCTACAAGAAGAGGAAGAAGAAAGATTGTTCTATAAGAAAACTTACCAGTAAAAAGTTGAGAATTGGTTCTTTTTAACTTTTTTTTATTTTTCGAGTTTTACTGTTCAATCTCTCAATTTCTCCAAATAATATTATATGCAACGTGAAAACATCATATTCATCAACTATTTATTTCAATAACATTAAAAAAAATAATAATAAATCTAAAACATGATTATATATTTCATTTGAGTTTTTATTTTGTTTTTTTTCTTTTCAATTTCTTTACAATGTAACCATCACTATTCTCTATAATTATAATAGTATCTAACTAACTATTATTTAAACGAAAAATCGAAAATCAAAATATAACACAAATCAAATTAAAGGGTGTGTTTGATTACAAACTATCAATAAGTTTATACTATTCTCAATAAAAATATATTATTTATTTTCATAAAACTATCACATATAAATATATCATTTAAATTCAAACTCAAATCAAAATCAAACAAACCCGACGCACCCATAATAAAACCTCAAGTTCAAAATCTAATCAAGAAAGAAGACCATGTTTGTTCTAATTTTATCATCCCCAATATATATAGTTATCAATAAAAAAATATTTTTTCATACAAAATATCTATAAAAAAAAATTAAAAAAAAAATAACTAACAACAAAAAAAATCATATACACTTAAAGAACACAATCGGAATTTTGAAAAGCTTATAGAATTTATTCACATTTCAAATGACTCGATTTATTCAAAGCAATAAATCACATTAGTAACTAGAAGATTAAATGTTGAAGTAATTCTTACCACATGATGCCACAAAACTAATGTAATCCGAAAAAACGTTGTCGATGCCGTCAACAAGATCATAGAATATGTTCTCCGGTAAGTTTATCGGGATTTCCAAGAACTTTTCCATCGTCTCCTTTGCAAAGCCGATTAGATCTTTCGCAGACTGAGCGTATGGCTGAGTTTTGGATGTCGGATTCCAAGACTGAAACACAATAGACTCATATGAGTAAATTATATACAACAAGATAAGATATGTAAATTTTATTACATTATTCATTTTGTGTTAGCATAAATAGCTCAAAACACCCGGTATTCTATCGCGAATACAGTGATTCTATGCCTCATTTCGACTAAAACAGGAACGAATTATGAATATAATTTACACATGATATTTTATACATTTAAACAAATTACGACACAAATTATGCAAATATCATTTACCAAATGAAAAGTTTCACAACAAAATTTCACTGGCGGGGCGACGAATCTTTTGATGTAACAAAATAAACATGAATTATTCAAAAGATTATGCTAATATTTATTTATATTTCATTAAACAATTATTTCAATTCGAATATTTATTGTTCTCAATTGCAAACCTGCATCCAAATACAGGTATATTCTTATTCTTCTTATTGTTATTACTTAATTTATGTTTTTGGTTTTGATGTTTACATAATGGACCTAATTGGTTGATGTAATGTTTTATATGAAAAATATATTTATATGATATTTTTTTAGTTTGAAAATTTCATTCAATTCCCCACTATGAATAAAAAACCGCATGAAACCTCTCGTACTTTAGAAAATATTGCGCAGAATCATGTATAGAGTTTTTTGTATAATAATTTTGAAAATACAAAAGAGTTTTTTCACAATTTTTTTAAAAATTTTATACAATATTTTCTAAAATACGAGAAAATATTATGAAATTTTTAAATCATAGAGGTGAATAATGCAGACTTTTCAAATCATAAGTGAGTTATAAATAATTTTACCTATTTTTTAAAAGAGAAAAGTATGAAAAAAAAAAAGATTAAATGTAAAAAAAAAAAAATAATTTAAAATCACAAAAGAACAAAATCTTACTTCTGTTTGCTTCGCTCGAAGAACATGTTCCTTCCCCATCTGTAATCTCTCTTGAATCCATTGTTTGAGTAACCTTTCGATCACAGTATCAACTTCATAAGGAATCATTTGCCTCACGATCGATTTTCCTCCATCCTCGCATTCAACCGAGTCCTCGACCACCATTTGCATGAGGGCTTGTTCGAGCTTCCCGGCTCTTTGCAATACCAAGAGAGTTTCGTGCAAGGGGCTCGATTTCCCCGCGAGGTATTGCTTTAACAAACATCCGTAGCACGTGTGGAGAGCCACGGAGGCAACTCCGGTCGCTGTAGGATTCCATTTCTTGAGAAGTGGACTGAAATTTTCCTTCTCTTTAGCGGCTAGTTCTTCGGTTTTTTTAGCCCATTTAATGAGCTTCTTGCTCGGTTCTTGCGCTTCGCTATTTCCTACGCTGGCTCGCGTTCGATCCTCTACCATCTTGTAATGTAATAGAGTAGTTAGCATTGCATGATTTTAGAAATTGTTAAGGCATTATGTAGAGATTTTAAAAATGAAATCGGTGAACAGAGACAAATAGACTCTTTGTTAAAGGATTATAGTTCAAGTTGTTGAACACTTTTTGACATGTTAGAAGTTGGAGGTATAATTGTTCTATTTATTTTGAATTTCGAAAAAAAAAAAAAAAATTACTTTATAATTATTTTTTATAAAAGTACATGTATTTTTACACCAAAATTTAAATTAAAATATATAAAAATATCACCAAAGTAAACACAACTTAAAAGGTTGTGTGTTTTGTTTTGTGTTTAGTGATAAAATAAAATGTAGTATATATTGAACAAGGCCAAATCCGACCATGCGTTTCCACCTCGGCGTTTATTTATTTATTTATAGTATTTTTAATTTATAAATATCACATTTCATATTTATTTTTTTATTTAATATAACTATTTCACTTAAAATAAAATAAAAAAAAAAAGAAAAAAGAAAAAAACTATGTAAATATAACTTCAAATCAAATGAGACATAAAAAGTTTAAGCTTTATAAAATTTTTACATTTTTACATTTTACCATTTTAAATCTAAATCAATATTAATAACTTTCATTCTTTTTAATAAAAGTATATTTTTTTATCACAAACTATCACATCAAAGTACTATTTAAATAAAAATTTAAATCAATATTCTATTTTAAATCACAATCAAACAAACTACAAAAGTCTTATTTAAACTCTTTAATTATTGAAATTATCGCTCGAAAAAGCTAATTAAAATTTTAATCTCATAGTATCACCTAATTTGAATTTTTTTTTGGTAGACCTATATGAAATAGATTCACATATATACTTACCCTAACAAAGGCATTCTTCATCGAAGATCGAATACAATAGTCGATCTTATTGCCATGAAACTCCCCGTCGCCTTCAACTTTGTGTCCATGGCTCGAGACATTCTCCTCCAATATCTTCGTGCACGAGCAAAGCAAAGGAAGAATAGCCTCCATAACCCTAACCAAATCGCCACGAAAATTCTCGTGATAATCTAGAAGCTTCTTCCTGCACCACTTCGCCATTCCTGGCAAAATGCATTGCAGCATTTTCAGATAAGCCATTTCCTCCTTACCACGGACCCTTCTCGCATCGGCCTCCACTTCTTTAAACATAATTAGACAAGCGCCTAGGAGGTCCGGCTCCACTTGTCCGGTCATTACATATTGCTCGAAAATAACCCAAGCGAAACATAGGTTATGTATGGATCTATCGATCCCCAATACGGACCATGTCTTTTTTGTAAGCTCAAGAAGCTCGTCAACCTCGTCGAGGAGCGATGTCTCGTCCGTTAGATCAAAAAGTGATCGGAGGAGGGCCGTGTAGATATGCACGTTTAAAGGGTATCCATCGGCCCAATGGCATATTTCATTGTTATCCGGGGAAGGGTTTGGGCTTCGCCAAGCTAAGGCGAGCACACAATTGCATAGGGCTCTCATTGTGTCCGAATTCCTTCCCGTGTCGATTGTCTTGGCTTCGGAGGAATCTATGATGTCTCGTAGGTTGGTGGCGAATGTGTTCGATTTTTCTAGTGGGATCGCGGGGTGATGGAGGAGACCGGCCTCGAGGATTTTTAGTTGTCGTTGTTGCCATATGTGGTAGTCGTGGCCGTTGCTGAACTCCGATGGCTTTAGATGCCGTAAAAGCTCTAATGGGAGGATTATTGTCTCGGCGCGCCGTCCCATCTGTGTGTTTATATGTATATATTGTCGAAGAAATTAAATGTTCAATGAATTTATTGTAAAAATTCGAAATCTTAGGGCTCTTATTTACGTACATATTTCTAAAGATTTTGTTACTATTCATCGATAATATATATATATATATATATTTTTTTTTCAAGTAGTAATTCAACAAATTGATTGTTTTTATGTACTATATATAATATTTTGTATCGAATTTCTTGGCTAAGCTCCTTATATGTTACTTACTAAGAATTTGTTTTATATTTTTTTCCGATTATGTTTTGGTCTAATATGGATTTCTTTATTACGACTCTCTTACAAAATATTGAATAATAAAAAATATATATTTAATGTGATGTAAAACAAAAGTAATTTTTGAATATACTACGGGTTTGTTTGGTTTCTAAAAATTTTCTAATACATTTTTTAAAAAAATTAATATGACATATATTCATTATTTTTATATTATGTCCACAATTTTATTTTATTTTATTTTTTAATTAAAATCTCTTTAAACCAAAAACATAAAACAAACAAAGTGGTCATTTTTGCCTAAATAATGAGAAAGATTTTCCAATTTAAAAAATGAAAGTAATTAATTTAATTTAATTTAATTTAGGGTTTGATAGAAATGAAATTGTGAGGTACGTACTTGGCCAACGAGGGTTCTCATGAGCGTTTTCCGCAGCCGATTGTCGCTCTGATCCGTAATTCTCATCTGCTCTTTCATTATCTCTGCTGACGTCATCGGCCGCCTCACCCTCCCCCTCGGCGCCGGCACCGTGAAACCCACCGTCGGACTCGATCCCGGCGACGCCATCGACGCCGGCGACGAAGACGAAGATCCGATCGAGCTGCTCCGTCTCGGCCGGTTCAGCATTTTCAGCCCTAATTCCCTCTTTATCCTGCTAATCACAGCGCCGCCGGCCGCCGGAGATTCAGGCTCCGGCGCCATTCCGTCCCCGCCTCCGTCGCCGGAGGATTTGTAGTACGGAATAGCGTTCCGGCCACCGAACCCCGGCGACGACCGGCAGGCCGTGAAGAACACCTCGTAAGCCGCCTCTCGGAAATCGTTGCGATCGAGGCCGTCGATTTTGCAGAACGGGGATGAGAGATCCTCCGCCATGGATCCCGGCGGAATTGTGGTCTCCTCCGGCGAGGTGAAGCTGAGGCTGTCCATGCTGGAATGGCGCGAATGGGGAGGCGCCATTGGGAGGCGGTGTTTGGGAGGCGGGCAGGCGGTCGGTCAGACGTCCGGCGGAGGCGCGGCGGCGGTGAACATTCCACCGGCGGTGATTTGGAATTAGGAGAAATTGGAGAAGGAAGGCGTGCAGGCGAGGTGGGCGGAAATGGAGAAGTGAATATTAATTTGATGAATGCTAAGAATAGAGAGAGGGAAAAATAAAATTAATTAAAAGGTTGTAAATTTGAGAGCTTTGAGCTTCTCCTCCATATATTTAAATGGAAGAACATGAGCTATTTCAGGGATTATTAATTTCTTTTTTTTTTTTTTTTTTTGAATTTTTGTTTTTTTGGTAAAAGTAAAGCTTTGTATTCTCCATAATATATATATATATATATATCAAATTAGAACACTGAACAAACAAACCCTAAAACTTTTATTTCATATAAATAAATTGTATTGATAGAATTATTATTATTATTATTATTTAAAAGGGAGTCTTATAACGTGTCCTTCTAAATTTTGGTTTAAGATATTTTAGGCAAAATTGTGTACTTGGAGTTTTGTATAATTTTTTTTTATAATTGAAAAAAGGATATATTTGTGGCAAATGATTAAATAAGACAAAATTATACTTTTATCTTGGATGGAACATTATATACAAATTCCTTTTTTTTTTTTTTTAAATATATATATATATATATATAGGATATGTTCCTTTTATGATTCTTTTTTGTCACACTATATGAAAAATATATATATATATATATCATCTTAAACAATGAAGATCAAACACTTAATTTTTAATCAATATATTATAATATATATATATATATATGAATGATCTTAAGGATATGGTATAATCATGAGGATGGTTATATATATATATATATATATAAATTTCTTATTTGTTACCAAAAAATTTAATGTTTCAAAATACAAAAAATTAGAGAAAAATTATTTTTCAGTCATTTCCCTCAAATTTTGCAAACAATATAATTCTATCTCTTCCCCGTCAAGAACAAAAAAGACGAAACAAATTTCGTAAATGAATAGGACTATCGGCAGATCCGCCCTTTTTGTATGCGCCTTCTTTACCTTAAAAATAAAGTGAGTTTTGCTCTCGCCCCATAAAAAAATGACCTTGTAACGTTAAGGTGGACTTACTAAATTACAGAGTGAGTTAACTTTATTATGATTATGGGGAGACGAATTGGATTAACCTATCAAAGGTCAAAATTTCCAATACTCTTATTTATTTAATTTTGAAAATTGAAAATTGAGAAAAAAAATTATTTTTTATTATCCCCATTCGATTCTCTCACATATATGATAAAATTGAATTTGTGCAAAATATATATATATATATATCATTCATTTCAGATTATTTTCATTCTATATAAAAAAATATTTTTGTCATTTTTTTCTCTTTGTAGATTGGAAGGTTCTACATATATATACTTTATGACAAACTTATTATTATTATTATTATTATTGGTGTATTTTTAAAATATACTATTATATATATTATATATACACAAATAGAGAATAATTAATTTTCTACTTTTTTTATTGAATTTTTTGTATTTATCATCTTATTATACACTTGTATATAAAAGCAGGGATAATTTGGTCTTTCAATTATTATATTTATCAACTATTATTATATCTATCAGTTACTACTAAAATAAAGTTAAACTTTTGTAAATCAAGCGATGAGATATCCGTCGCTTGAGGGTTGGGTTCCAGGTTTCTGATTTTTTTTTATATTCGAATATTAATTATTATATCAAAATGTAATACAAGTTATGAAAAAATTGCAAAAATATTTCCAGAAGAATATTTGTACAAAAAATTATACAAATATAAAGATATTTTTAATATTTAATACAATTACACAAAAGGTAAATGTAATCCTTAGAGACGGACGGAAGGAATACTTTTTAATTTGAGTGCAAAAAATAAATATAAATATTAAAGATAAACGAAGGGAGTATATAATTATATTATAGACAATGAGACAAAAATAGAATTTATTTGATTTTTATTTCTATGTAAGTTTTAAATTAAATACTATTTCATTAGTCAATTAACAAATTATTTTTTTTTATTTTAATCTATTTCATAATAAAGTATCAAGTTTATTTTTTAACAACGGTAGTATGTATTTAAGATTATAAATATCTTTACAACTTAAATATATTACACAAATATTATTATATTTATATCATACAATACTAATAAAGATATTTTAGTCATTTTTATTTTATTTATACTATATATCAATATAATACTAATATATATATAAAGTAAATTGATATTTACATTACTTTTATTTTAATATTAAAGATAAAATAGACGATATACTACTCTATTATATTATATCTTTATATAATACTAAATTATTTTAATTTGTATGAAAAATTAAATAAAAAAAAACTTACTAATAAATGGCTAGAATATTTACTTAATGAGAAGAAATTATATAGTAACAAAATATTCTTTCCGTCCCGTCCCAATGTAACAGTCTTGTTTACTATTTTTGTCCGTTTAAAAAAATAGTTTTATTTCCATAAATACTCATATCACCTCATTATTATTACACAAATATCACTACTTTTTATACTAATATATTCACCGGAACAAAAAAATATTTTACTCATATTTTTTATCAATTATTAATATAATATTAATATTTTTTAAATTACGTGCCTAATCTAAATAAAATCGTAGATTTGGAACGGAGTAAGTATAAAAATAATTACAAGTGAAAAGAATCCTAAGTCAACAATTGAATAAATATAGAGCGGACATCCCTAATGTATTATTATGTCGGTACGAAAATCTTGTTCCTATTTGTCACATACTGATACTGATATTGTCATAATCATTATTTCCCGCGGCAGCCCGCCCCCACTTTCCCGATATCTTTATTTAGTGGGGGGCCGTAAGTGTGTTTGTTTGTATGTTTTAATAACGTTTTTTTTTTTTTTTTTTTTTGTCTTTATACATTTAATCTATAATAAAAATATTGTATTTTTTCTGTCCCATAATAATAATATTTCTTCTGTTTTATTGAAAAATTGTCATTTTTTATTTTTGTTTGTCCTAAATAAAGTTATCATTTCCTAATTTAGTAATTCCTAACATAATAAATATCCTTCCAACTTATACTATATTACACAAATGTCATTACTTTTATATTACACAATACTAGTAGGGGTATTTTTGTCCTTTTCATTACAATCCATTATAATACTAATATTAAAAAATCTACGTGCAAAAAGCAACAACCACCCTTGTTCCGGGACGGAGGGAGTACATTTTTCTTTTTTATTTTTGTCCATTTAAAAAAATATTATTTTTTAATTTAATAATTGTACTACTTACTTAATAGAATTAATATTCTTACCATTTCCAATATATTACACAAATGTCATTGTTTTTCATTACACAATATAATAGGGTTAATTTTGTTATTTCTACTATAAATCAATATAATACTACTAATTAAAAATCTAAATACAAAAAAGCAAATACTATTTTTTTTCTGGGGATGAAAGTAGTATTTCAATTATTTTAAAATAATATATTTATTTTTGATAGAATATTTTTTAAAAATATAATTATTAATTATAAGGATAATTAAAAGTAACATAAAACTCCACCAATAAATACACCTTTAATAAAAATTATCATAATTTATTAAATCTAACATTACATTTCAAACCAAACAATCATATAAACAATTCTATAAATTCATAATTTATTACTCCTATTAACAAATAGTAATCAATTTATTTCAGTTTTTGTTCCATCATAAATTATCAACTTTAAATAAAATTTTATAATATATACATTTTTATATTACAATATTACTATTTATCATTTAAATTTATTTTTACTTATTTTTCATCTAAATTCAATCGTTTTTTAGTAAAAAAATTATTATATTCACCTCACTCTAAGGGTTTTATTTATTTTTGTGTGTTAATATTTGAATATTAATTATTATATCAAAATATAGTACAAATTTAAAAAAAATTATAAAAAATATTATACAAATATAAAAATATTTTTAATGTTAATACAATGAAACACAAAATAAATGTGACTCTTAAGGAGGAGACGGACTGATGAAGTACTACTTTTTTTTTTTTTTTTTCGTTATCCTAATCGATACCAAATTTTTAGTTTTACATATATGTATATATAACTTGTTCCTAATCAAATAATTTTAATATAATGTAATAAATATAAATAGGTGTTTGATTAAGTTGAATTTTTTTGAATTTTTTTCAAAGTTCTTAGTATTTACAAAAAAAAAAAAAAATATACTCCAAAATATCAAAAAATATATATAAATTTATATTATATTAATAATTTTATATTTAAAATATTAAATCAATACTTATTTATAATTTATATCCCATCACATAATTATTTTAATTAAAATTTTTTATTATTCAAATTTCTAACTTAAAATACAAACCTAAACAAACACGTCCTTGATGTTATCGGAGGAATAGACGACTAAACACACCCATACTTGTTTTTTTTCTTTTGAAATAAAGAGTAATAATTATCTGAGTTTACTCGGTGGGGGCCGGGCCGGGCCGGGCCGGCACCTTGAAACGGAACTCTCTTTAAACTTTCTCTCATACCTGCCTCATTCTCTCTCACGTACTCACACACTCATTTCTCTCTCTCACACACTCATTTCTCTGTCAAATCTCTCTCCCTTGTCTCTCACACACACTCCTTTCTCTGGCAGATTTCTCTCTCACAGACAGCTTTCCTCACTCCCTGCGGATGTGCTTACAGCTTTTGCACACATGGTGTAAATGCAGGCGACTTTGTTAATCGGAAAGTGGGTGCGCACTTCCTCTATTCATCTGAAGCATTCCATTTTTTTTTTTTTAACTTCAAGTTACTCATTCGGAAAGGAGATTTATGCCTTAGAAAAAGCAGATTAGCGTTTTTTATGAGCTATTTCTTTGCAGGTTCTAGTTTCCCCGCGAGATCTGAAGCAGTGGTGTGAATTGATGCAATGAGGTCGAGTACTTGGCTTAGTTCGGTGGTGTTTCAGCTCACTCCAACTCGAACGAGGTGCGCTTACATTATTGAGACGCGTATTTCTTTGGAATCTGTGCCGTTATTTAGAGTCTTGCTGGTTGATCTGAGTGTTTTGTTGGTGAAGATGAGCTGATTAGCTGTTTCAATTGGTTCAACTCTTTCGTGTTTGTAAACTTTAGCCTGTGTTGCTTTCGTTTAAGTTTTTTACGTGTAAAGTTTTTAATGATGATTTATGTCTTTTTCAAGGTATCTATCGAGAACTGCTGATAACTTTTGGATTATTGCGAATATGGTTCGTGATGTAATGATGTAACGGAAGAATTTGAAATTTGAAGAATTTTGATGGGAGTTGAAACCTTCATTGGGTGTAAAGAAATCTTAGATTCATCTTTTGGTCTTTGTTTTTTAGTATCTCTAAGAGTTTACGATCCTTTAGACTGAAAGCAGAGAACCGATCATAGAGAGGTTGTTGTAGGGTTTCATAAACATTAAGAAACAGGATCTTCTTATGCATTTATTGATGTATAATTTCTTTCCTTGTTGATCTTTCGTGCTGACATTTGCATTACATTTTGAATATCAGGTGTGATTTGATTATCATTGCCAACAATAAGAGAGAGAAAATTGCATCGGGGTTGTTAAATCCATTTCTTGCACACCTAAAGACTGCTCAGGATCAGATTGCTAAAGGCGGTTATTCAATTGTTCTAGAGCCAGCATCTACCGGTGATACATCATGGTTCACAAAGGCCACTCTAGAAAGGTTTGGATGCAGTACATTATGGTAACATTGTTGATATTTGCGTAAGTAGGTCCGAATCTTATATAATCTTAATATTATGGTACATTCCCCTGTTGTGAGACAATCCTCTTCTGTTGTTTGTGCTTTTTGGTTATTTAATTGTGCATGTTTTATCCCTGTTGTGAGTAATCTTAAGGTTGTATGTTCTTTTTAATTGTAAGTGATGAAATCAACTTTGGGGATATATTATTAGCTTTAGAAAAAACAACATTGGGCGCCGAATCTTTTGATTTCCTGATCAAAATCTTGCAGAATTGCTATCCTTATATATTAACATAGCTATCTTTCGTGCTTTTTATCTATTGATCCGGAACAGAAACATCACCTAACCATTACATAAAATGACTGCAGACCTTCTTCCTTAGAGCATACTAATTTCATCCAAAGAGCATGTATAAACTTTAATTTTAAGATAAAAACAAACCCATTATAAATCTGTATGCCTGTACACCTATTTGACCACTATGTTTCAAGATATATCATTGTCAAATACTTTTTTTCTTTTTTTGACATAACGGACTATTAGCTCATTCATTTGGCTGAGGGCATTTATTTGCAGAATCCTTGTGAGAGATGTAAAAATTGTGCTTTGGCTTCTGGGTTGTATGTTTCTCTGCCAAAGCTTAATTATGAGAAGGCACTAAAATGTGCTACTTAACAGGTTTGTTCGTTTTGTGAGCACTCCAGAAATCTTGGAGCGTGTCTACACAATAGAAACTGAGATCTTACAAATTGGGAAGGCAATTGCCATACAGAGCAGCAATGAAATTGGGCAAAGCATTGTGGTATAAAAACACAGGATAATTTCTGCTTGGGCTGGTCTTTGATTATCTGCATTTTTTTTTTTTAATCTTTTCTATTTGCAGGTGGATAGCCACAAACAAAAATCTTTGGGCGTGTATGAAGGTATATAATAATTTAATTGATAGATTTTAAAATATCTTTTTCTTGAGAGTTATTGATGGTAAATTCTGTACCTTTAAAAATTCCTGGTGATATACCTTAATTATGATGTCAATTGGGTTTCATCTTTTAGTAGGGTTCCTCTCTTTTCTTATAATTATTGTCCCCACTCCCCATACATTGTTATAAATATTAAGATAGGGTGGAAGTGAGTAACTCTGTGATGAGTTATCTGTATTACATAGTGCAGAATAGATAATTTCCGTGGAATTATCATGTAATCTTACTCTTAATGACTTCTATAGTAAATCATACGGTAGTAACTTAATCCTAGATCTATGGACAGGTGAAAAATCTGTGCCCAATGCTGATGAAGAGAAGGCAATTGTTCTATACACGGTGATTATACAATTGTCATGCTCATTCTTCTGATTCATGTGACTGCATATTTCATAGGCTTATTTGTCTTAGCAGCCTGGGGCACCACCGCCTGAAGCCAGTGGATCATCCTTGGAGGAGGGAAATTCAAAGTATGCAAGGCAGTTCTGTGTCTCAAACATTTAGTTTCTTGAGAAAAAGTTTAGTTTTATTTCTGAAGGTTTGTATATAATTTAGAGCAGAATTAGTAAAGGGTATACTCTGCAGGAATGGATTCTAATGATGGGATTTCAAAGTGTTCCAATATGATATTCCACTTTGATTGTTAGCTACTATTGTTGCTTTATGTTTTTTTTTTTTTTTCTTTTTTGCCTGTTGTTGATACTATTCCTTATGCTTGTACAGTATATTTATCCTTTTTGTATACCCATAGTCATTTTTATTTCTACCTGAACCTTTCATTCTCTTTGAGTTTCTTTTACTGGCGTTTCTGTTCATTATTTATTTTCAGATTGATTAGCTTGTTATCATGGCAAACTAAAATTTTGTTTTTGTACTAAACAGCAAAGATCTGTGTTCCCATTATATAGTAATGTTTCAACGCTGAATATAATACTTGAGTTTATACAAAACACAGGTCTTTGTATGGTTGTATAACTTCTTTGGATTCTCATTAAGATCATGCATTTGATAATGAAAGTGAAGCTACATGGCTCATATATTACTTGTTATGGTGAATTGGTGATAACTGAAGTGAAGAAAATAAATTCATGAAGCTTAACTTGTTTGCATTTCGTTCATGGTGAAACAGAGTTCAGCTTTTGAAAGTCCTCGAGAACCGCAGGACAGCGCTACAAAAAGAGCAAGGAATGGCTTTTGCACGTGCAGTGGCAGCAGGTTTTGACATTGATGACATAGCACCCCTTATATCATTTTCCGAGTGCTTTGGAGCAATGCGTTTAATGTGAGCTCTTTCCACCCTTTTCACCAAATACACAAATTATAAGAAAAAGAAAAATAAACATGACAGGTAACAGGTTATGTGCATGTCTACAGGGAAGCATGCACAAGGTTCCAAGATATCTGGAAGAAGAAGCATGAAACAGGACAATGGCTTGATATTGAGGCATCAGAATCAGTGGGCACTCAACCAGACTTTGCTTCAATTAATGCATCTGGCATTATTCTCTCTAGCACACCCAACAATCATGACCACCCGGACAATGAGCCAGCAGCAGCGGATAATGGGAAATCAGGTTCAACAAGTAATGCTGGTGAGTTCTAGTCCTTTTCTATGGTCTTCAATAAAATTCCTTTCAACCAAAGATATTCCTCTAAAGCTTTGAATTCAACAAGAAAAACCTTTCTATATGTGTATGATTTCGTCGATACATTATTGGACAATCTTTAGTGTGTGATAAAGTGCTTTTGTTATATGTGTGCAAGGATGCTTTCTCTTAATCAGGGATGGACTTCCTTTTCACTTTCAATATTGACGACTTGAATCTACTCAAATCATCCCGGAAGCTCTAGAAAACTAGGACCCTTTGCCTCTGTATGTGGGCCACTAATTGAAAACATATACCACACCCCCCCCCCCCCCTCCCACCTCTTTCTAGATGGATGAATTTTATTTACTTATATTCAGTTTTAGAGAGTCACCTAGGAACAATTGATTTCTAAATAGAATCGTAGAACTACGGTGAATAGTCTGTTTGTTTCCTAGACCATGAAGTTATTTATTGGGTGAAGTATCATGATCTAGAGTGCCATTGGATAACACTCCTGTTTCAACGATTGTTTCTATGCATAAGGGGAATCATAATGTTGTGAAAAAAAATGTCAATTCAAATAACAAGAAATCATTTGAAAAGCTAACAAACCAGCCTACAATTCAGCAGCTGTTGTTAATCTTTCAACTAACTGTTGCTTCAGAGGGAAATCAGGTTTGAAAGTAGAGCATCCTAACTGAATAACCTCCTACCATATAAATTATGCTACTAGGATAATAATGTCTGTCACCTTGTTACACAGCTTTTACAAGGTGATACTTTACAAGTTACAAACTTCTACAATGCTTGATATATGTGTGCTAGAATCACATGCTGTTGTGTCCTAAAATAATATTTCTACTTTATATCAGTAGAATGTCTGTCTTATTTTCTTTTGGTTCCAGCAGATCGCATGGCTCCAAATGGCCAGCAGGAATATATTCAAGGGCAATTTCCGCACTTTTTATTTCCACAGTGGCCTATACATGCACCGCCTGGTGCTCAACCAGTATTTCAAGCATATCCTGTGCAAGGCATGCCATACTATCCACCTTATACAGGTAATGGTCTTGTGTTTCAGCCACCACACCAACCTATGGAGCAGTCTCTGTCAAATTTTGGTCCCCAATCAAGCCAGATCAGACAATCTGATGATGCTGTGGGCGGTAATCCTGGGACAGAGACATTGGAGACTAATGGAACAAGATCTTTAGATGATACATCATTCAATGCAGAAGTTTCACACAGTCGAAAATCACGAAAAAATGCTGGAAGTTCAAACAGAAAGCAATCGGGCATGGTTGTCATACGAAACATTAATTACATTGCTAAAGAGAATAACTCTGATAGTGAAACAAATTCAGGTTCACATTTGGATGAAGATACTGAAAATGAGTCCTCCGAGGGTGACCGTCAAGAAGTGAGCCATCAAAATAAGAATAAGAAGAGACCCTTCAAACAAGGAGTAACTTATCCAAAGTCCAAGGAGAAGTTGAGTTCAAACAACGACGAGACAGCCATGTTTGGAATAGATGGAGATAATAAACAATGGCAGGCATTTCAAGATTGTTTATTAAGGGGAGGTGATGAAGATGCTCATACTGACAGAAGAACTAATGCTTTGGACAAGGATGGTAAGTTAAAGAAGCATGTTGCAGGTGATGATCCATTGGCTCATGGTGTGCGAGATTTTAGTGAAATTCAAGATGGTAAGATGAGAGATATTCACAGAATCAGTGGACGTGGTGGTTCTCGGCTCAAGGGGTCACGTGATGAGCTTCTATCTTATAGTGTGGCTAATGACCTGAGAGAAAAAAATGACCAAATGGATATTCAATTTTCAGAAACCGGCGGGAGGAAGATTTTATCCAGGACAACACATGAAGACTTTATGATTGGCAATCAACATAAGCAGGCTGATTTGAGAAATTCATCACAATCACTGGCTGTGAACTGTTTTGAGGGTGCTAATAAGATAGACAGAGACTATTCTCGTGGAATGGCTGATGAAAGTTTGGTTGTGCCATTTAGGTCGATGTCGATTGATGAAGGAGCTGATGGAGCGGGTATTGATATAGATTCTGAGATTCCATCTAAATATCAGAAGTTAGAATCAGGAGGAAATAAGAACAAAGTTAATTATGAGCCTAATGATTTAAGTCTGATGCCTGAACGAAGAACTGATAAGAGTTCATTTGGGTATGACCTTGCTCTGGACTATAAAATGCAAGTCTATGCCCAAGGGTCTCAGGAGAAAGGCAAAAGAGCTGTTGCTGATGTGAAGGTCAGTGGCGTGAGGAGATTAGATAAGGAGCGAAGGTCAAAGATTACCTCAGATTCTGTAAATAAGCAAAGAACTGGAGGTCCTGTGAGGAAGAACAGTTCATCAATGATGAGTGCTACAGAAGATGCAAGGGCCCGTGCTGAAAGCCTAAGATCCTATAAAGCTGAGCTGCAGAAATTGAAGAAAGAGAAGGTACAATATATGATATCCTTGTTCAACTCCAGTGTGAGCTTGCCAAACCGATTGCTTTCTCAATAACAAACATTGTAGATCATAATTCTTGGCATGAGTTTTCGTGTCACTAGAGGTGATTGATTGCGAATAGATTATGAAATAGAAAAAATAAACATGTTCAGGTAAGATATAATTCATTTGCAGATCAAGACTAACTGCCAACTGGCATTTTGGATTCTCATCAATTTTTCCTCTAGCATACATCTTATTAGATTTATATATTCGATTGCTTCTTTACAGGAACAAGCAGAAGTAAAGCGGCTAGAGGCTTTAAAGCAGGCAAGGCAAAAGAGGATTGCAGCTAGAGGAGGTTCTATCTCTGTAAAGTCATCCACACCATCTCCTCAGACAAAGCAACAGCTGCCCAAGATTTCGCCTGCAACTAATCGAGTATCGAAGTTCAGCGATTCTGTGCCCGGTTCATCATCTCCCTTGCAGAGATCCAAAGTTAGAACTTCACTTGGATCAAGTGAACCTAGTAAAGTTACCAAAACTGGTAAATTAGGTGAGGGTAGCCACTCAGCTGGGAATAGATTGACCAGGTCCTCTTCGACATTGTCTGAGACAAAAAGAGAAAAGACTAGTGTTTCTAATTCTAAGGCATCCATATCTCGGATCAGAAGGTTATCAGAACCCAAAACAATGACAAGTTCTCCTGTTACTACAACGAAATCCCAGAGTGCTGATGGAGTATTGAAGAGGAAATTGTTTCATGGGCCTGGAAAGAACAAAGTGTCTGCTATCATTGACCTTGATAGACGTAAAGCTGCAACTCTTCCAGAATTGAAGATCAAGACGACAAAGCCACAAGAAACTACAGGTAATAACAAATCACTGGATGACACACAGAAGGCAAATGGAACAAAGTCATCAGTGCTTCCAAAACATGGTGAACCAAATGTAAGCAATACCAGTAGAGCTCATCGAATTGATGCCGAAGACAACCCAATAGTTGATAAAAGTGTTTTGGTGCTTGAGACTGAGAAGCCTTCTCTTCCAACTTTGCATCCATCAGAAGCAAAGACAGGGTTACTGAATCAACAACATTATAGTCGTGGAAAAGGAGAAAAAACAAGCATGGTATCCGAGTCAGCTCGCGCACCTTCTCCTCCAACACTGGATAAACAGCCCGTAACTTTTGAAGTCCAAAAGCAGTCAGTTCGTAGTGAGGTAGGATCATTAATCTGACATTCCTGGTGCCCATAGCATAGATTGGAAGTTGGTTTGAATTTCTATCTTCAACTCCTGACCTTATTTGATACACATTCTATGAAGTAAGTTTACATCTCTTTTATTGTATGTTTTATGCACCTCTAATGTGCCATTTTAAAACAAGATGGCCTAAATTATACATGATACTGGATTTTAGTTTGTGGGTTGCACGTGACCTCAATCTTTTCGTACAGGTGGTACATTATTATCGGTTGCATTCATTGGCTTACTAGTTTAATTTCTCCAGTTGATTGTTGTTGTACATGTGCTGTTTATTCTGCTAACACTATTCTAGGTCTCTGATGAAGCACATTGTGCATCAGGTTCCAAGCTTCGCTAACACGACTGGTGATGGAAAATCTTACCAGGCTCCTCATGCTCGGGTTTCCTCTCTGGAAGACCCTTGCACTCATCAGTCGGATTATGGAAAAGCACCATTGGTACGTTCAGAAGTGCCATTACGAGCTGAAGATAATGTCAGAACACATGTTACTGATTTAAAACCCCCCAAAATGGACAAATATCAAGTGGAATCGGAGAAGGCTTGTGTAAAGGATTCGCCCAAAGGTTTGAGACGCCTATTGAAGTTTGGAAAGAAGAGTCACACTTCATCATCAATGGATCACAGTTTTGACTCGGATGGCACCGGTGTTGACAGTGAAAGTGCAAAAAAGATGGCTTCAACAAGTCAAGGTGACGACTATTTCTCTAACGTAACACTTAGCATTATCATATAACTACTTATGGGGTCGGTTTATGCATGAATATGGCTTTTCCAATTTGAATGATAAGCTGACTTGGTGACTGAATTACCTTCAATTATGAAGATTAGATTTTAATTCAGTCGTCCCGTGTTAATACATTTCGTATTATTAGTTGTCAGGATTAATTGGTCAGCTCAGCCCCTTATTTTTGCAGAAACTGCTTTCATTTGTTCATGCTGGAAGATGGATAATTGGTTTTCATATTTATGACTTTTATGCAATTTCTTTTTATTTACAAACCATATAATATGATCCTCCTTTTATTTTCTTTCTATGAAGGAAAATTGCAAAAAATATTCTCATGTATACCCCATTATTATTTTTGTTCTGTATTTATCTCGTTGAAAAAATATATCACATGTTTGTAAATGTCGCCATTTCTATCCTTGCGTGATGTTCACAATAATGACTTTTGCAAACAGGTAGAATATATTTTGCCAGCGAGATAAATACAGGACAAAAGTCATAATGGAGCATACATAAGGATATTTTTTGCAATTTTCTCTTTCTACGCATAGCAAGTTCTCAATTAGCTATTATTAAATTTCAATCCAGTTTTCTTCATACCATCTAGCTTCAAAACATTATGTGGGTGTGACTGAAACCCGGATTTAATCCATTGTGGTCGGCTAGCTTTTCTGTGTTTGTAAAAGAATATTTTTTACCTCGTTTCTATTAGTGACTTTTGTAGTAAGACTACAATCAAAATGGATTTTATGTTTAATCCTTTAGTTAGCTTAAACTCTGGATATGTTATGCCACTGTATGTTTCGTGGTTCGAATTTGATAATTTATAAGAAATGGATTACTGTTCTTCCATTACATAGTTCAATACCTAGAAAAAGTATGTAGATAAACAATCTGAAAAAGATGTTTGTTCGATAATCTAGAATGTCCATGTCGACTGCCAATAGCCATTCTAGTCAATTTTCTAACATTATATAATCTTTTTGAACTCAGCTCACACACTGAAGAACCTAATTTCTCACGACGACGTCCCTCCTGCAGGAAATGCTTCACAAAAGAGTGAGTGAATCAAACTTCATTTCTGTGTAAACTTGACATTCTTTTATCCCCTTCACTATATATCCGAATCTTACTATTGTTTAAAATATGGCTACTACAGGTTCTCGTCATTTCTCTTTGTTGTCTCCTTTTTGGAGCAAAACGAGCGAAAAGAAACAAGCATCGTAGATCTTCAATATATCAAGGTAAATGTCCTTTCTTAGATATATATCAAGTGTGTAATTACAAGTCACATATATACTTCAAACATCACTGTTTCATAACATGCTTTTCATTCATATGTGCTACTTTGTCACCTCGAGCCGTACTATATTGCGTACACTACAGTATCTTGTCGATTGTTTTTCATCGTATTCGCATACCGGAATTTAGAAATGTGTTCGGTTTCTTATGAAAGCAATGACCCGTCTTGCAGCTAGATGGGGGTAGGCCAACAGGGCTTGCCCTTCTGGTCTCTCTTATACAATTTCTATGACTTTAGGTAGTAGGCTTAGGCTTGCTGCGAGAGTAAGTTGTGCTGGGGGCGTATACATGAAATTAGGGGTGGTGTTATACACCATACTTTATATCGTATTTATTTGATATGATAGATACGTATACCGTGTCGTCTCGAAATTTTTGGTATATATATATATATATATATGGTATTTTTCGGTATATACAAAAATATAGAAAATAATTTAGTATTTCGGTGTATACCGAAAGTTTCAATTTACATGCTATTACTGTACCGAAACGTGTGTATATATTGTATTTGAATTTTTGAATTTTTATTGTTAAATAAAATTTTACGTTTTGAATGTAAAATAAATTTTTAGTATAATATAAAAATAAAAAGTAATTATTTGATTTTATATTTAGTCGTTTGTTTTTATTGTTTAAATAATAAAAATAATGTATTTTTATATTTGATGTGAAATTTGAGTTAGTTTGAGAATACTAGAAAGTTCAAGAACAATAATTTCTGTAACTTTTTTTTTAATGTTTGCTGTAAAATAATTGGATATATTTGGAATATAAAATAAATTTGGCGTATTATTTTAAATAAAAAGTATATTTGATATGAAATTATTGTCGAAAGAGCGAGGAAAATAAAGTTGAAAGCCTCAGTAAGTAAGGATAATTATTTTGATTATTTAATGTGATATTTTATAGAAAAAAAAAAAAAAAAAGTTTGATAAGATAATTTTTTCAAAAACTATATTGATATAGTGTTACTTCTTCCGTACCACTTACTTTTTTATTAATTAACAAAACAGATAAAATAATAAAAAAAGTTGAGAATACTTGACATGGCATTATTTCAGCCGCAACCTGTCCAGCTCGTTACTATTCTAAATTTTATTTATTTACTCCACCTGTTAGCCACAACAGTTAACCCGTTTTTCATTTGTCTCGTAATAATTGCCATATATACATTTTTAATAAATTTATCAGCTTCAAATATATTCAACAAATATAAATTAAAATTATAATATGTTAGATATAAAATTACTCAAAATCCTTATATTTTCCCTTTAATAAATAAAATATTTTTGAATTTCCTATTTTTTTATTTAGTTATATCACATAAAATGTCATTAATTTAATATTCATATTGTACATATTTTTTATTCAAATATAATTTAAAATACTAATACACATTCTAAACTCGTACATAAACTATGGACATAACAGTGCAGTGACAACTGTCAGGACCTTAAGAACCCCATAATAAATCAGAATAGGATATGTATATAAACTCGTATATATACATACATTGTATATGTGTTTATATATTACATATATGGCTGGAGATTCCCAAATCAATAGAGTTCTTTGACATGATCAACATATATATCATACAGATGACCAACATATATTTACACATAATAATACAATATATATTGTATTATAAGATAACACTATGTTGTGTTATAATATAACATATGTTGTATTATAAATATATATTGATCACCTAAATGGTATATGCTGATCCGATCAAATTAGCACCATGCTAACTTACCAATAAACAACTGACCATGCCCTACATATATATATATATATATATATATATATAGAGTGAAAAAAATAATGGATTGGTATTTGTATAGCAAGCATGTATGTATGTGTGTGATGTGAACGCTTAACAGATAACAAAATCCTTTTAAAAGGGACACAATAAGAAGTATCGGATCATCATATTCATTCATATTGGGGGCATATAACAACAAACAAACGAGAACAAGTGACCAAAATCGAAAGAAATCGATGAAATCAATTCAAACACAGATGTGATGATAGAAAATTATAAGAGATCGAACTAGAAATACAAGGTAACCTGGTTGTCACAGATGTATTCCTCTTCTTGATCCGGCATATTTGAGTATATGCGGCTAAAATCTTCAGACACTGTACCGACTTTTTGTTGATCTCTCCTTTTTAGAATCCTCCTGTAATAATTAATGAGACGAGTAGAATGAATTGGGGAAGGCAGTAGGATCATGATATACATATATATATATATGTATATAACAGAGGATATACATACATGGAAACTGTAAAACATCTTATCATCAATGCCGAGGATCTCCTTCCACTTCCTCCCAATGCTCATCTGTGTGTTACAAAAACTCGAGGTGAAATTGATTGATTGATTGATTATTTGCAAAATACCCCATCATCAAGACTTCTAACTTCAAATTATGATAAACTATAGAGGAAATACAAACTCAATCTAGATTAAAAGGAAATGCCGAGACAACATTAGCATCTGTCTGGCTGCTGCTGAGGTTATTTCACCATATAAATTATCTAAGTTCTGACAACTAAGATTTTACCTGAACTGCTTCATTTGCAGCGGTCTTGGTCCACAACGAGATTTTGTCTTGTCTTGGGCGCACACTGGCAACTACTCCACAGATCTCATCAGCCTCGTCAAACTGCTCGCCGATCATAGCCATTAACTAAAAGATATGGAAATAAAAGTAAGGAGCCAAATAACAATCAGGTAATTGAGAAATTAAACTGAAAACCCATGCAAGCAATTTTAAAAAAATGAAACAATGATGCATTATGAGAAAATTAAGTAATATTACAGTTTCGAGCCACAAGGTGTCCATATTCGATCTTCTGCTGCAATTAACAGTCCATTTGCCCCCGTTTGCGCACTCAGGGTCTTCCCATTTGGGCTCTACTCCTGCTTTGAATAAGTGAAAGTCTGCAGTTCCGGATAATTTGCTGGGCACAAAAATCTGATCACACAAACTGCAACAAAAATTACAATATTAGGTATAGTTATAAGGGTGTATTTCGTACAGAGAATAAAGTTACAAAGAAGGAATATTAAAGAAAAGATTAGGTTGGATAATGAGAATCGATTCTTTTATTTAGTATTAGAGAATTCACCAGGAAATGGAATGGAGAATTAATTTATCATTTACTCAAATAATATATATATATATACATAAATACACAAAAAAATGCATAAATTAATTAAAATATATTGATCAATTTAAAAATTGTCATAAAAATCTACAGACGGCAAATATCTTAGGAGGATAGCAAAGAGGGCCGTGCGGTGGCAGAGATGGTGACAGATAAACAAACTTGGAGGAAGAAACAATCGAAGAAGGTTTTGGTGTGGAATGAAAAGCTGTTGAAAGATAACTTTTTGCATGTATTTTAACTCCCACAAATTCAATTCTTTCTATTTCTTCACGTATAAGAGAGAATTGAAAGTAGAAATGAGAAATAATTTATTTATCAATCTTATCTTCTCCGGTCCAAACAAAGAAAGAAAATGTATTTATTTCCATTTCCTTGCCGCCATTTCCCTGAACCAAACACCGCCTAACACTCTTTAACTCTCCACGACTTACAGGTTCTCTCACAACATTGTTCAGAATTCAATTCCAAAACCACTAACAACATTCCACTTTCTTCATATCGATGCGCTCTGTTAATTTAAAATGGTCTTGACAGGTTCAATACTGTGTGAAAGCCCATATATCAGTGCATACGGCCACTAAGTTCATTCCTTAAGGCTAATGGAGGATGTAAAAGATTGAAAAACAGCAAGCAGCAACTAATGTTGAAAACCAATCCAGAAACATTGATCGATCATCAATTATTAAAAGTTACTTCACGCGCATCAAGCGGCTAATAATCAAAGCATGTAGAAGCCTAATTAACATTAACGGAAATGCTATTCAAGATTGACTAGTGTTGAATTCTTAAAAATGTCGGTGGTGCTGTAGACAGTAAAAGGATGGAAATGCAGAAATCCAAAAACTAAAGTGGCTCTTCACGTTAATTAAAGTTATTTATGATGGCACAAATAACTTTAATTCTTAACTAGAGAAACATTTGCATCTCTTAACTTAGCCATAATTCAACACAAACCAAGCGATTATGTTGATATGATCTGAAAACTTTTAAAGTACGGAAAACGTCTTGCTATCCTATAGCACTTTTAAACTTACTGTGGGAACCCTAATCTGGATGAGGGGTTTTTGACAGGACTCCCACTATTCTTCATTTTCATTTTCTCCCTCAAAATTGTGGAATCGAACATTTATTTTTCACTTTCTATACTCACTACGTCCCCTACCGAGGTATACATTTACTATTTTTTTAGTGATATCGAACACCTATTTTTTCATTTCTTATATCACATAGCATTAAAACACCTTTTCCAATTCAAATCTTCTTCCTATTCCCAACCCTAAATCTAATCTCCAAACCTACACACCAATAACAATTTCGTGTCTAAAATCGGAATTGCAACAGGTTATGGTGTGTGGACTCTTAATTGCCTCGTACACAAATAGCATAACACAATATCCATTGCAACAACATAAAAAAAATAAAAATAAAAATAAAAAATCGAAACACCAATAATATTCACAACGAAATCATTAATCTCCAATTAAGCACAAGTAAAACTAACAAGGTTCTAATGAATAAAGTAAAGTGTTCGTTCACGAATAAGAGATCTATTAGCACGAAACGGAATCTCCTGAGAAAATTGAAACAACAGACGTAGCCGAGCCAACCAAGCCATGATCTAAACAATAGTTAATACGCACCACCAGAATTCTTCGACGGTGTCGAAGGTGTAGGCTTTGCGGATAGAACTTCCCCAGGCGGCGCCTTGTTTGGGTTTCGATTGGTTGTCGTACCAAAACGTCCACTTCCGCTCCAGTCTGTGCGGCTGCTTCTCTGCCTCCGCCTGTACTTCCGGCGCCGCGCCGCTCGCCACTTCAGCCGCCATTTCAATGAAATCAAATCAAATGGGAGGGTTCTGTGCGGAGGAAAATGAAGGAAGGGGATGGAGACTCTGCGTGGGCTTGGCTTTTGGCTTTTTTAAGGGTTAGCGAGATTTGGTAACGACCGAAGGTGGGTTAGGGTTTCAATAATAGGCCCTTGATTGGTTAGTGTTTTTATCTAATAAATACTCCCTCCGTCCACAATATAATTATTTTTATTGCAGTATTTAAAAAATAATACTTTATTCGTCTCAAATATTGTGTAATATTTATGTTTGACATGAGAATTTAGGTGGAGAGTATTAAGTACGGTAATTTGAGATAATTTGGATATTAAATGATGTGATTGGAGAGATAAATGATTATTTATTTTTTTATTTGAGTGATGCTATCAGATAAAATGAAGTGTATATTAATATATGTATATAAATATTATTAATTATTTCTAAATTTGGAAATGTTGCAGTGAGTTTAGAAAAAAAAAATAGCGCAGAGTGTTTGAGACAGATGGTGTAATATTTTAATTACAGTGGATAGTTAAAAGTAATATAATGATATTTTTGTTTTATTTTTTTGATATAAAAGTAACAATGCGATATAAAATATAGGTATTTGTGAAAAAAATGAAATATTTAATAAAATATTTATTTTATAATTAGACGTTCCAAAATAAAAATATATCTACTACCTCATAAAGTATTATTTTGAGTATCAGATTCAAATCAATATAAAAAGACCAAAAAAAAAATAAAATTGAATTTTGGATTTATATTTTGAAAGGTAAGAATTTTTTTGATATAAAATTGAATATAATCTAAAACGATTGTATTTATAAAAAAACATAAAATTTATTTGCTCAATAATTTTTTTTAAAATATAATTTTTAATATATATTTTATCTTTACAAAAAAAAATTAATATTTAACATAAAATATTATTTCAATTCACTATATTTTATTTAAAAAAAAAATCAAATAAAAAACAAAACAAACAAATTATGGCTACTTGAATTGCAGTATGTATCTTTTGTTTTTAATTAGATCTCTTTAAAAGCATTTGTCTTTCATATTTGACTAGTGTGACATGCCTGTCGAATCTACGCTATTAAAAAAAAAGACTTCCATGTTTCGAGCTGCATAAGGAACCCGCAATTCGATAAGACGATGACTCGCAGATCAATACAGCCATCTTCCGCCAGAGGCGGCCCACAGCTTCAGGCTGTCTTCTCCGGAATTCCTCCGGACAATGTCCTTCTGCTCCTTGACCAAAATTGCTCCGAACAAGATCGATTTACTCCGATCTACTTTCTCCTTCAACAAGTCTTTCTCTGACGAAGGGACAGTTGAATTTCGGCTCATGGTGCAAATGACATATGTCAACCAAGCCTCAATATCGGAGGTCGGTTCGATCAACACTCAAAGCCTCGACATCCATCAGAATCAGCCATCGAACTCTACACTCACCAGCTTCTCTTCCCTTCACTCTCTTGGACGAAAATGGCTCTTACTACGTTTGGGATCGTCAGTCCCATAATTTTTTTTATTTGATAAAATCAAATATATATTAAAATTAAGTTTAGCTGAAATATAAGGATTATTTTATAAATATATATTTGATTTTGCAAATAATAAAAAAAAATTACAATAAATACCAAATGTCTTACTCTTATTGCATGGAGATGACATTGGAAAAAATAAGGACCGAAGATCCCACCCGGTATATCTATATATCTAATAACTTCCCAAAAATAACTAATTAAGATTGGGCTTAACGTTTGGAAAGATGGAATTAGATTTGAGTTAAAGGAATTAGATCGATCCAGTAAGCCAGCTAAGGATTGGGCGTCCCACCTACCATATCCACATCTGTCCATCCTATATCCCATCCCATGTCACTTTTCTATTTTTTAAAAATGATCATACACTTTTATTTCATTTTAAAATTTCTAATTTAATTTTTTTTAATTTTAATTAAACTAATTAATTATTTTAATCTTAATTTATGATTATTTATATTATAGAATAATTAATTATACTTATCTTAAATTTTTGGGTATAAAGTGACTCAAACATCCAACGAAGGACAAAGTGAGTAATATATAACACCGACCTAACAACTCACACAATATATATTAATTTAATTTTGGTCATAAGTAGTTATTCATATACTACTTGGAACTATGGTAATTAGCCCTAATAGTAATAATATGCACCTAACTGCCCTGTATACAATAAAAAGCTGTTAGGGACTGGATTTCAAGATTACACAAACATTTGTGTTAATCCACAATTCCCAAAAAAATACATTTTCTCAAAAAATTTAACACACTTGTTAATTTGTATTAATTACATAATTTCTTATACCATAAAAAATATCTCTTTCAAACAAATCTTCACTCATTCTTTTTTTTTTTTTTGTCCAGAATTTTCCTTTTATTTTATTTATAGCAAATAATTATTTACACATTTATCAATCTATACCCATCAACATTACAGACTTATTTACAAATATATCACTACTATTTACCCAATTATCAAAAGTTTTCTCTAACCTCATTTAACTCACATATACTTGTTAAAATACCACTAATTACATCAAAGTCAACTAACATAAACATATATTCATTAAAATCAATATTCAGCCAAAATAAGCACAAATGTCATGGATGGAAAAGGTATATAATTACACAAAACTTATTTAAAATACAATTTAAAATCCAACTTTATGAGAAAAAAAAAAAAAAGGAAAAACCTTACTACCAAGATTAAAGATGTGTGATCCTTATGGAGCAGGTGTAAGCACGAAACGGAAAAAGCAACACCTGTAACGAGGGATCACAAAAACAATGTTCCAGACATGTAACTGTATCAGCACAATTATATGAATATGGATACATGACTAACGCCTGGAGGTAAAAAAGTCCGATAAAAGATCATTAGAAAAAGAAATTCTCAAAGGGGAAACCTGTGCCAAATTGCGAAAAGTGAGATTCAAAATGGGAGATCCCGCTCGATAAAATGATTTGGCTGTTCAATTCATGTACCTGGTTTAAGGAATTATCATGTCATCTTGCTCATGTAACCTAACCAAATAGGATACATTGCATCAAGACCATCCCTAACCAGCATCTAAATCATGGCTGTCGATATTGTGCTAACAACACACAACATATATATCAACAACACAAAAGGTATAAATTGACAACATAATATATACTCCCCCGTCCCGCTCCAAAAGAGCCACTTGAAACTTTGTAGTAAATTAAGAAATAATAGTATTTTATTAGTTATTGAAAGAGTGTAAAAAATTTTGACGTTTTTGCTTTTTAAATTTATGTCTAAAGTAATTGTATGTGTAATGGTATGTTTGGAATTTAAATAAAAATTAAAAGTATTTTGATATGAGTGTAAGATTTCTTTTACTAAAATAAGAAAAAGATACTATAAAGTGAGACGGACGAAGATGATAAAAATTATACTTTGAGTTGAAACAGAGAGAGTATGTTAATATACTACAAATACAACATATGATGAAAGTTGATACAACACACTGAATAGGAGTAACCTATCCCCTAAATACATAAAGCCTAGTATTTTCCAAGAATCATTGAAGGGAATTCTCGGGAGATGAATAAAACAGTATTAATTGAATCCAATGTTTTGAAAAGATTTAGTATCCTAATGGAGCAGGTGTAAGCATAATACAAATAACCACACCTGTAACGAGGGATACATTTCCATGTTCCAGACTTGTAACTGTATCAGCACTATCTAGTCGAGATGGACACATGACTAAAGCCTGGCGATAAGGTTGAATATATATTACGAGCTGCAACGAAATGTCGAAAGTTGAGATTCAATATGTGATATTCCCAACTAACATTTGAAAGTCTCAACACAATTTATCAATGATTTTTCCAAAAATATCACATTTTGAGCTGTTTTTTCATATAAAAAAATTGAATTTAATGATAAAATAAAGTATCAATAAGAAAATTGAAAACATCTGTATCTCTTGACATAGCCATATTGTGTCGATTGGATCTGAAAACTTAACATTTGGGGAAATGTATTTCTAGCTCTACAGCAGTTCTAAACTTCACTGTAGAAACCCTAGACACCCAATACCAATTTTGTCGAGTGCTATTTCCGGCAATCTATCGCAAGCAGAAAAACGAAACACCAATAAAATTCACAACCAAATCATTAATCTCCAATTAAGAACAAGTAAAACAACAAGTTTCTAATGAGTAAAGCAAAGAATGGATCGAAATACGAGAAACAGCGAATAAGAAAACAATTAGCATAAAAAAAGATTTCCTAGCCAAAGCAAACCAGGATTTAAATTGCAAGCTATGCCGTATCCTCCACACTTGCCGACGGCAGCCTACTGAGCCTACCGTCCATCCCCGTCGCGCAAACACGTGAAATGCGATGACGATTACAAACGTGAATTGCAATGGAAATTGAAAACGTACCTCGCTCACGAATTAGGGCTTGAATGAGATGGCTGCCCTGTTTGTGTGGAGTTCTTATAGGAAAATCGATGGTAGGGTTTAGGGTTTTGGCGACATGAAAATTGCTGGAAAGAAATGAAAGGGTTGGGCTTGGGTCAGGGCAACAGCTCAATAGAAAATTATGGGCTTTGTATTCGGCTTGAAAAAGGGATTTGGATATCAAAGATTCAAAGGGTATGTAAAAATTTATTTGATAAAAATAATTAACAAAATTACTCATAATCACTTGTGCTCACTTTTCAGGCTACCTGCCATCTAGGATGGCAATAGGTCTGGATAGATCCGAGATACGATCTAGATTCGACTCATTTTTTTGGAATCGAATTCAATTATTTGGGTATCGGATCCAAGTCAGGTATAGTATACCTTCGTCGGGATTGGGTTAGGTCTCGAGTTCAAAGATGGACTCTACTCGGATATGAGCCTATTAATATATTAATAATATATATGAAAAAAAAATAATGATATAAATTATATTAGAAATATATTTTTAGTTTAGTTTATTCATTTTCTTATTATTTTATTATAATATTTTTAAATAAAATATATAAATTTTAATATATATATATATATCAGCTCCATGTTAATAATGTTCAATTTTGAGTTAAATTTTAAGAATTATAAAAGAATTTGGAATCCATCGGGTATTGTTTGGGTCGGGTCCAGGTATAATCGAATCAGTTCGGGTTTCGAGTTCAACAAGAATTATTCGAGACGGGTCTTGAGTTCGGCTGAACCCGACCTATACTCGATCAATTGTCATCCTACTACCGCTTCTTTTTATTTTTTTTATTGCACTCATTAGTTCGTCACAATAATTCCAAATTTGGATTGTTCCGCAAGACCAACCCGAACATTTTCTTGAATAGACTGAAAAACTCGTTCTAATGTCGATACCGACAGACTAACATCAATTAGGCCATGAATGTCGATTTTTTGCAATAAGAATTGTTTCAAATAATTAACATACATACTTATGGGATATGTTTTGATGGAACACATGAAAATAGACAAAATATAAAGAATAAACAGTAATTATTGTCAATTATTTGAACAATTTACTCCAATTAAACTTCATAATTATACAATGGAAGAATTTATGCTTCAATATCAAATAATCTACTTATTATCAAATACCCAATCATGCATTTCACTTCCACCATCTATGCCACCTGTACTGCCACCAGCTCCGGCGGCAGCTGCACCACTTCCACCATCTCCGCCGCCACCACCATTTTCATCTCCTTTCACACTTTTCTTACACTTTCTATAACATTTGCACACGAAGAATTTGCATCTTCCAAATATGGCCTTTTCCCGGTTACAAATCAACTCACAATTCCGGTCGTCAAAACATAAACCCCTAAAGAGCCCGCTTGATGACTCGCATAGACCTGGTTTTCTCGGCGTCACCATATTTCTATCTGAACAAAGAAAATAACTAGTTTTAAATCAATTTTCTTGGCGTACGTAATTCTTTTTCAAATATCTTCAATACGTAGTCCGTACAATATATTGTACACTAAAAAAAATTACTATTCAAATAAAAATATTGTCGCAACTTACCGCAAACCAGTAGAAATAAGAAAATTTGAACAATTATTACAAGTTTGCAAGACATGATTGTGATGTGGTGATGACAAGAATCATTAATTTTTTTATATATAGCTAAGTTTTCTATACAAAGCATTTCCATTTTACAAATTATAGAAAATTGCGTTGATGATCTTTTTTAATGAGTATTGAGGTAAACAAAATCAATGTTAACTTCTTTGATATCATTTGCAAACTTTAATTAAAAGCCGTATTGTTTTTTTTACTTTGTTTGGAATTTTGAATTTGAATTTGTATTTAAATAATACTCCCTTCGTCCCACCATAATTGACACTATTTCATTTTTGTTTGTCCCGTAACAATCGAAACTTTTCTATTTTTTTTAAAAATTATTAAACTAAAACATATTTAACAAATATAAATCAACTTAATTAACTACATAACGTACAACATCATAAATGACGTAGGATCACTTAAAACTCCTTTATTTCTGTCTATCTCTTCAAAAAAAAAATATTTTTATCTATATTTAAAACTACACATCTTTTATAAAATTGATTTATGTTAATTATAAATAAACAAAAATATTTTTTATTTACTTGTATTATAGATTTTATTCTCTTAAAAAAATGATATTCATATTGTATATATTTTTTTAATTGATATATAATTTTTAAATATTTAAACATATATTTTAATTTTTTTAATCATATATATTAAATTTATTTTAAAACTATAAATGTTATTAATTATACAAAAAATAATATATAATAATATCATGACTAATTATTATTAACTAATGAAACATCCTCACCTTAAATACCTTATCCCTAATCAAAGGGGTTCAATTCCAATGGAACAGAGAGAGTATTTTGATATGATATTTTATAAAAAAATATAATTTATAAATAAAATATAAAAATTAAATATATTAGAACTATACCAACTCAACACTAGTATAATATTAACTAGGATTTCCTACACCAACAACCAATGCTGAGTTCAGGTGAGATTTATAAAGTGTGAATTCCTTTTCTAATTTTTCAATTTGAGACTTGAGTGTGCAATCCAATAAAGTAATAATAAATAAAAATAAAAAATATATATATATACAAAGACGACACTTAGCTTGCATATCCTTGCAAAGTTGAGTAGATATTTAATGCATTAGTAAATTTGAAAATCACATATATTGAAAGTTATACGATCGAATATGTTATTGTGTGACAAATGTGTAATTTTGATGCATTACCAAATAATAAAAACATAAGATAATGCGTATACTGTTTTTCAAGTTTCGTACATAACAAAAATAGAAGTAACTTTTGAAATTGAAAAATATTTTTACAAACATATTGAAAACAACTTTTTGAATAAGAAATTACTGTTTTATCTTTAATAATAATAATAATAATAATAAATACTATACTATACTATAATATAATATAAAAATAATTAATTGATATATTATATTTTAATAAAACTTAAAAAATATAATTATATTATTACTTTTAATTGATATATTATATTTGAATTAAAATTATAATTGAGATAACAAATTTAAACAGGAGTATATAAATTTTTTAATTATATTAAAATTATTAATTTATAGTTTTTTTTAAAAAAAAATTGTACAATACAATTAGTTTAATAGTATTAAATTGTAATTTTATTTTTAAATTATATATTATCCTTACATTAAAATTTTAGAATATAAATAACAAAATTAAAGAATATTTTTTTTAATTTAATTTAAAATCTTTAAATATAATTACTACAATTAAAAATAAATTATAAAAATTTTATAAAAAATACAATTATATTAATAACATATAATTTTAACGATTTTCAATTTTATTACATCTAAAATTATTTTTACAGTGATTCATTAAATACAAAATCGAAGCACCAATTAATGCAGTATGAAGGTCATCTTCAACCCCCAACTCCATTTTTTTAGTTGCTACAGTAAAATTGCAATTGATCTACTGTAATTTTACTCCAACCATAAACTTCAATTTTTACTCTAAAAATATATTCCATATATATTCTTCTTTTATATTTTCCATATATATTCTTCTTTTATATTATTTTATATAACTTTTCATATTTATAAATTACACCCCAACTTTAATTTATTTTTACATTAGATCCATATACATATAATTTATAAATTATTTAAAAATTACATATATAAAAATTAACATTTATAAGTAATAACTATTACAAATAAAATAATTTTAAATAAATAATTAAATGCTATCAAGACAAATATGATCATAATAATTAAACATAACTTTTTACAAAGTAAAATTACACGTTAATTTAAAAAATAAAATTACATCACTTTTAAAAAAATAAAAATTATATCACTTTTCAAACAGTAAAATTATATATCAATTTAAAAAATAAAATTATATCACTTTAAAAAAATAAAATTATACATTATTTTTCAAAAAAAATAAAATTACATACAACTTTTAAAAATATAAAATTATATATCATCTACTAAAAAAATTAAAATTACACAATACATAAAAAAATATCAAAAATATAAAAAATATCACAAAAACTCCACTCCAAAAATAGAGTGGAGTAACAGCGTTACTCCAGTGTTGATTCAAATTTTTTTGGGGGGGGGGGGTGAATTTGGGGACACTAATTATCACTTTAACCCAATTTATTTATAAATACCTACACCTTAAAGTTGAATAATTAATATCCACTACAAATTCTATAATCTATTAAAACCCTATTACCAGCAGCCCACGACCAAGCATAACTATTGAATACAAGGGTTTAAATTATTAAAATACACCATCACAAATTGCTATAAATAAATTTATGATATACAATAAAATTAAAATAAATATGGAGTTAGGTACTCTTAAATATATCATTTAATATAGTAATAGACAGCCATCTCATTTAACTAATATTATCACTTAATTATTTTTCTACTATTACCTAAACTCAATTAAAGTAATTACTTAATTATCAAAATCAATTATCATTAGACTTAACACATTTTCTTCAAAATCGACTTTTATTTCAATATTATAAAATAATTATGATTAAAAATCGTTATTTGGAATTAATATAAAATTATTTTTAAACAATAAATTTCTTGCAATATATATTTTTTAAATACGCTATTCATTCTATTTTTTTCCCCAAAAATATCAAATCAAACACCTATTTTTTATTTTTTATATTATACTAAAAATCAATTTTATATTCAAAACATCACATCAACGCCTATTTATATCACATCATACAACTATTCAAATTCATAATTTTTACTATTCGAATCTGAACTCAAAATCCAAACCCCCGAACAAACACCCTAAAGTTAATGAATAATACTATCTAGAGGAATATTACTATATACTATGAAATATTTAAAATAACATATTTGTTTGCTTTGGTTTCAAAATCAAAATTTCACTATTCAATATTGTACTACTAATAAAAATACATTACTCCATCCTTGTCAAATCGTATGTTCATTTTACGGACATGAATTTTAAGAAAAATAAGTAAGAATAGAAATTTGTTCTTATTTGAGTTAAGAAAAATATTATTTTTTTTACTAAAAAAGAAAACGATAATAAATTTAGATGATAAAAAAAAAAGATTTGGACAATAGAGGGAGTATTTTTTTTTCTTACGAAACACAACCACAATTTTCTTACAATATACACATATATATTTTTTTAAATAACAATTTTCTTGCAATATTTTTTTAAATATAATAAATCAACCTTAGCCTCCTTTTTGGACACAAGTAATTAAGGATATATCTAGAGGATTAATATTATATATGGAATTCACATATTAAAAATGGACAAATTGTGATTATTCTTATAAATATGTGACATAAAGATCTTTTACCCAATCTATTCTAACTCATACGAAACTTGACTTTTACCAAATAATCAAAATAAAATAGCTTCGAAAGAAGACATATCAACCCTTCTCAAGACCAAAAAAATTAAAAACCCTAAAAGATAAACTATTACATCTTGAAAGTCTTTCTTAAATTTGTTATTTAAAAATCGAGTAATGTACATTGTTTTGGCAATGGTGATCTTCATTGCTATAAATTCGAGGATTAGTTTCTCACATTCTTGCACAACACAACCTAAAAATCTTAAACATTCTTGTCCGAAAAATCGAAACCCTTTGCTAGTATGGGTATCAAGACTTTTTTCCACGAGCTTAAGACAAAGGTGTCGCCCTCTAGACTATTCAAGGCTACAATAACCGACGCCCACGATATCCTCCCCAAGGCTTGCCCCGATGCGATCAAGAGTCTTGAAGTAGTTGAAGGAGGTTCACTCGTTTCCGGTCATACAGTTAAGACAATTTTTGCAGGTGGTTAATTAGCTTCTCCTTATTAATAATTTACTATAAGTGACTACGATGGATGAAATATTTTATATATCTATTTTTAAGTATATATATCTCTATTTTGAATTGTCAAAACTTGTTATATTAATGTTTATGATTAGTATATCCCGTTTAATAGGCGGGATCAGAAAATCTCTTAAATTATACTAAAGTCGTAGTGTGTTTGTTTAGTATTTCAGTTTGAAGTGTTTTTTAGTGTGAGGTATGGAGAGTTGTGTCGATAATATAAAAAATAATATTTTATGTAATTGAATTGTTGCGAAAAAATAGAGTTTATAATATTTACATTATATGAGTACGTTTGCATATATTTTATATTTTTATTAATATTCATCGACAATTGTACAACTTGCTGAAAAAACCCGTAGTTCTATCACTCATAGTAAATTAAACTACATACCATGTTGAAATTGTTGAATTTTTCATATTTGTTCTATTGTCATTCCTCGCTTTTTTTTTTTTAAAAAAAAACAAATAATGAAGCGATCGAGCTTTCACTTGATACTTTTAATGAAAATAACTTGCTAAATTATGACGATACAATGATATTACATAGGTCCTCATATGAAGCATGCGAAGACCAAGTTTGAACACATTGATCCCGTGAACTACACGTGCAAGAATACATGGTACGAAGGAGATGGGCTTGGTGACAAGGTCGAGAAAATCTCTTATGATATCAAGTTTGAGGCATCCGACGATGGAGGGTGTGTAGTAAAAATGAAAAGCGATTATCACACTAAGGGGGATTATGATCTCACCGATGACGAGATAAATGATTTCAAGGAACAAGTGTTTGGACTCTACAAGACTTGCGAAGTGTACCTCATCGACAATCCTCACGCGTGCACTTGATCACTTATTTGGCTTCCTACCGAGTAATTGTTCAATAAAGACGATAAAAAATTCAGTTTGTTGCCTTCCTATACTTGTGTGTTGTTTAATTAAAATCAATAAGGGAATATCGATTTGATCGGTGGTTTGTACGTGTAATATGTGTGATCTTGTTGAAACTCGCTTTGTGTAATATTTGGAATTTTTATTTATGCAAATTGTAGCAATATATGGATGATATGTATGAATTTTCTCCGATTCGACACAACAAGTTGACATCAGAAAAAAAAATTTAAGGAAAAAATCAACGACAATTATCAATATAGTATATGCTACTAAGCTTTCAAAATGTTAACCTCATAATATTTTGTTAGCGGTGGCTATGAAGCAAGAGAAGATGTAGCGGCGAAAATATCAGCTTCAGTTCCGGGTTGGATATACAATTAGAGAAATATGACTACATATATAATACAAATTTACATTTTATAGAATTTCAAATTACGTATTATTGATAACGAATAGAGAAATCGATATTTTCTGTCATGAGCTGCGTGTACACTTAAAGTGTGTTCTTTTATCAAATTTTCTCAAATTTCTATTATTCATAAAAAAAAATTCCCTAAAAAATATCAAATCAAATATATATTCTTTATTATTTATATTATACTAAAAATTAATTTTAAATTTAAATTTAAAATATCACATCAATATCGATTTATATCACATTATACAATTATTTCAGTCAGTTCAAAATTTTTACTATTCAAGTTCAAACAATGACATATGGGTTAACCGAATTGTCGACTAATTAGAAATGTTTTGTACTATTATTTATAAATAATTTAAGTGAATAAAAAAAAAATACATTCAATAAATAATCAAAATTCTGATTTTAACAAAAATATTTATAAATATTCCAAATTGAGAATAGGAAGTGAAATACAATGACAAATATATTTAGGTCATTTGGATTGGTTTTTAGTAAGAGCTTTTACTTCTGCTTAATCACTTTATATCTGTTTGAATTAATTTATGTCCAAAAACATAAATATATTTGAAGCTGAATTTTTTTTTTTTTTTTTATAAACATAAATCAGAAGTACTTTTCAGTTAAAATTACTATTTTATCTTTAATAATAATATACAATACTAGTAATATAAAAATAATTAATTTATATATTATATTTTAATAAAATTTTAAAAAATATAATTAAATTACTATGTTTAATTTATATTTATACTTAGAAGTAAAATTTAAAATTATAATTGAGGTACTTAATTTAAATGGGAGTGTATACATTTTTTAGTTGTACTAAAATTATTAAATATAATTTATAAATTATAAAATAAATTGTAAAATAGAAATAATTTAATATTAGATTGTAATTTTATTTTTAATTTATATATTATCCTTAAATTAAATTTTCAAAATACAAATAAATAATTTTTTTATACTTTAATTTAAAATATTTAAATATAATTAATAAAATTTAAAAATAAATTATAAATTTTTAATAGAAAAATACAATTACATTAACAATATGTCATTTTGAGTAATTTTAACAATTTAAATACATCCAAACAGTTTTTTTTTTTTTTTTTAATATGATTTTATAATGATTGATCCAAATACAAAATCAAATAGAATCTGATTTTGGCTTCTACTTATTTTTTAAGCTAAATATATTAATATAGTATAATTAATTTGTACAACGTAATTTAGGGCCGGTACGGATTTTTACAAGCTCTGAGTATAAATTAAATTATAGACCCTATAAACATATAATAAATATATTTTTAAAATAATATCATCATAATATAATAATAAATCTCACAAGAGAAAATTATTTTATTTATTTATTTATTTTATGACGTAGGAATCCGCAGCCGCTACCCAAAAATGCGCATTGGATAAACTGTGTGCACTGGATAAGCTGAACCTAATACCCTGTAAGGCAAGTAACAGCCTCATGAGTACAGAATTTATCATCATGAAAAAATAAGTAATATTAATAGGTAGATATGGTTAGAAAAAAGAGATACAGATTTGAAAAATATCTGGTTAACATTTAAATTTTACAATTACAATTGAATTAATTAATTATGAATTATATATAAAATAAAATTTTAAATTTAATATATATAATAATAATAGGTTAAAATTTTCAAATATGAACCCTTCTTAAATTTTAGGTCTGCCAAGTTGTTCACTCTAAAGAGGGTGTGGGTTAAAGCGTTAAAATAGTTTGACAAAAAATTGAACACAAGCGCATATAACAATTGCTCCTGTTCTTGTACCTAACAGTTATTCGTCTGATATTACTTCCGCCGCTCTCAACAAAGCTCATATTCTTGAATACAAGCAAAAACTCTCACAAAAACACAAATAACAATTGCTTTGTCGTCGTTGCCGCTGTTGCTTTTGACTGAGCTTCTGTTTTGCACATAACAATTGCTTATCTGACATTGTTGCCGCCACTCTCAATAAAGCTCCTATTTTCGAATGCAGACACAATCTCTAACACAATTTCTAACGTAAAATTACATGGGTCGCTAAATCAGACACCTCCAGATCCATTTAAAGTTGGATAAAGTGTTTGCTCCATGAAAAAAAATAGCCCACATGAAAACTAATTTATGAAAACCTAAAAACTTATATTTTATTGATATGAACTAAATATTTTTTCAATAAACTCATCTATTTCTTACTTATCGAAATTTAGTCTTAAATATAAGTTAAATATTTGATCACTATTTATTTAATCATCCAAATTATAAAAAAACAAGAGTTCTTATAGAAACAAAAAAAGTTATATAAATGATCGTAATAGTAATAACAATAACGCAAATTTTATAAAATAGGGTAATGAAAACTCTCAATTTTCCGTCCGTAACTCGAAGCAAATTTTATAAAATAGGGCAATGAAAACTCTCAATTTTCCATCGGTAACTCGAAACGACAAACAGGGCAACAATGGCTCGTCCTCAGCCACTTCTTTACGCAATCTCCGTGGAACAAATGCAAGCACGGCATCCACGTTGCTTCGTGTCGCATCACTTCCAAGCAAATAATGCAAATCTCTTTCGAATCATCCGTCATCACAGCCTCATTTAACGACGACTCAATAGAAAACTTGGCAGCCGAAAACATCATGTGTGCCTCCTCTTCCTCCTCTTCCTCGGCAGATTGCAGAAACACCAAATCCATCTCCGCCTCGAGCCTTTCTTTCATGGTCTGTTTAAGATGGACCCTAACGGGGCAGTATATCCATATTTTTCTGTAGTCATTTGAATTCGGAGGCTTCCGTCTAAAGACTGAAATTAAATTATCGACTGCGGATTCTATAACGAGTGTTTGTCCCTCGAAATTAATAGGCCAATGCTTGAGTTTTATTTCAAAAATTTCCAGAAATTCTTCGGGGCTGAGGCCGAAGTGATTTTTGCTAATCGAAATTTTGATCGACGGTATGGACTGGATAACCTGACCTATGTACATTGGCCTGGTGTCTAATTCTTGGTCATCGACCACCACCAAAAGCCATAGGTCAATAAAGCACCTACACGTGAGTTCAAAGAAAACGGTGAGTTCCGTCGAGACCTTCGTACGACTATAAACAATGCTGGAGGTTGTTGTTTCCTCGATTGTTACCGAAACTTGGTCGAAATAATTGTCCAATTGCGCCATCAGATTGCCAAAATTCGTTTGAATAGAGGTACTTAAAACTAGTATTCGATATGACGCGGTTGTTGATGATTAGTGTCAAAACTTTCAAAATTGTTTGCTTAAGGCCTTGAATTTTAGAGAAAAAGAAAACTGAGAGTTTTCAAACAATGAGGATCTAATGGAACGAAAGGATTCGAATGACTATATAATGAGTATGAGTATTGTATCACATATATATATATATATATAACACGATAAATTGGCTCGAATATAGAACAATTTAGAGCCTACTTTTACTTGTATGTTTGGATTTGATTTGTTTATTTATATATATATATATATTTTTTTAAAATTAAATCAAATATATATTTTTATATTATATTAAAAGATAATCTTATTTTTAAATATTATATTGATATCTATGCATATGAATTAGGGTTTGATGCCGAATCTATCTATGTTAGATTGAATTCAAGCTGTCGGATTATATTACAAATCAGCGGAAGAGATTAATTTTATGGGTTAAAATATCATGAAATCAAGTTTTCTTTGGTAATAAAATCATTTCACATAAAAGAAAATCTATGGTTATAGATTGTGAATAAACACTTCCTAAGTTTATTTTGGCATATGATTCAACTGGCTTTCTTCATGCTGCAGCAACCTTTTCTTTTTCAGCATTCGTAGGTTGCAGTAAGACTGTCTCTGCAATCATATTGTAGTCTGAATTCGTATGCTTTGTATTATCCATTGTGTCTAATCCATTAAATATCTATAAGAGTCAACTTGGTATTTGCGGATGGTCTGAGTCGTGCAGAAACATTGGAAAACACTCCATCCATTTCTATGCTAAGGGAAATTAATGTAAAGTGCCATCCATTTATATGCTAAGGGAAATTAATGTAAAGTGTGTTCTTTCCAAGGATGCGTAGAATATATAAAACCAAAGAAAAAAGATGGGTGTAAGAGTTGGTGTGCAAATTTTAGAAAGGAGATTATTGAGAAAAACTCTCACCACCCATCCAATTCAACTCTTTATATTTTAAATATGTGTTCTACACTGATATCAACCGGAGATGTCGAACGTGTTCGAAATTAATGGAGTTCCAACCAGAGGGAATTATCAAGCTTTGGACTTCTTTGTCGTGTGGTCATTGTTAGTACGAAGTTGTAGCAATGCGAACCTAATCAGGTATTTTCTTGGGTTAACCATGACAAGCGTTAGAGTTAAATGAGCTGTGGTTGTTTGTGTCCTTAGTCAACACTGGTTAGTGGAATTCCTCATGGATTGGTATCTCCGGATGTAGATTTGTTGGTAATCGAACCGAGTCAACAAACACCTTGTCACATTGTTGTTTTATATTCTGCATTGTCTTTCGTTGTCAAAACGTTGTTATAATTGTGAACCGTCCATGCTTAGGGAGTTGACCCTTTAAAGTGTTCGAACATATTTTGTTAGATAAATCACTTTCCCAACATAGGTTTTTAGTTTTAAATTTGATAGATTTAGATTGTTTAAATTTGAGTTTATGTTTATTTTAGGGTAGGCCCTAATTATGAAAATAATGCAATTTTCTAAGTTTCATAATTTATGTGCACATGCTATAAGGGGTTATTTTATTTTATTTTATTTTTTCTCAAGTAGATACAATGTACCAATCCGCATTTCTCCGGTACATTCAACTAGATATACCCGAAGGTCTACGAAAAATTTGAGATTGTGTTTTTATGTGGGTTTACCACGTGTTTTTACTATTCATTTTTTTTTCTTCAAAAAATATCAAACCAAACAATTACTTTTTTTATATTATATTACAACTTTTATTTTATATTCAAAACATAGCATCAACATCTATTTATATTAAATCAAACAATTATTTAAATTCAACTTTTTATTATTCAAAAATCCAAATCCGAAAATCCAAACCCACAAACAAACAAATTTTGTTGTTAGTTTTTATGTTTAGACTCTTGGTTTCCGTCTACGTTTAGACTTGAGAGTTCTGTCTGTGTATTTGTCCGTGCGATCGATCTGTCATATTTCTTTAGGGCTATTTGTCTGATTACATTGAGACTCTCGTCATTTCTAATTCTATTTAGAGTCCCGTTATTTCCGACTTTGTGGAGTGTACTTCAGTCTTTTCTGGTTCCAGTGAGAGAGTCTTCGTCGTTTCGAAAACGACAGACAATCAACTATTGTTTTTATTTACGTGAGATATTTTTGATATTTAGTTTTATATTTGGTAGAATTAGATTGTTTAAATTTGAATTTATTGAATCTGTTTTATAATGCATAAATGTAGTCCCCTGTTCTCTTTATGATTATAATGCAATTTTTTAGTTTTCATAAAATATTTCACACTCTTAATATTACTTAATTGAAAGAAAAAAAACACTACAAAAACTTAAAATTGTGCAACGCTATGGATAGGATTCAAGAATAATGTGATAAATTTCAAACTGTTGTGAATGAAGATTACACCGGAAACATCGAGCTCCGGTAATAAATAGCACACAAATTTGTTTATCCAATTTGATTATAATCAACTTACATCTCGGGATACCAACTAATGAAAATTTTCACTATCAACCTATCACCAAGTTACCGTATTCATCTTGCTTATATTACAGGTAACTGATTGTTACTACTTTCTAATAACACCAGCAGTTTCCACTAGCTGAGATTAAGACCGTCTACAAGTTGATTGACATCTCCGACTGATCATCCGATTTCTCCTATCTACGGTGCCTCCTCCAACGACTTTAAACGTCTAATTATACTTCAAAATATAGAGAATGAGTTGAATGAAGTTGAAAGCACGAAACCTACTTTCTACTACTAGAATAACTCTAACCAATTTCTCTTCGATCAACTCTGCATTCCTTGGCTGCTTAATCAATCTCCGAGTTGACCACAAAAATACAATTCATTTAGTAGGATAACTCATATACCTTTTTGACTACTCAAATCATGCATTTTGTCTGTTCAAGACTCAGAAAGGAGGGACAAATTTGACAGTGCAGCCACCCTACACTTCTTTGCACTTCTTGACTGCACAATTGTGTTGAATTTGTGCAATCCATGCAACACCTTTTGCGGAATAAAAGTTTGGGAATGGAATCGTGATTGTGAGGTTATAAGTTCAAATCTCGACGTCTCCAGACAGTGGTGGAACCATAATTTTATGAGAATGGGGGCTCGATTTTAAAATTTTTGAAATAATACAATCTTTTTATTGTCAAACTTCTATTAATTAAGTTATCATATTTTGAGAATGTTGTAAAATTATAAATTATTAAAAGAACTACATATTGTAGTGTTTTATTTATTTATTTATTATTATTATTGTTTGAAATTGATAAGTAGTAAAAAAATTTAGTAGAAGAAAATTTCACTTTTAAAGAAAATCATCTACTACCGGTTTGGTTGGAGGTTTTTTAAAGATATTTTTACTATATTTTACTTTTTTTCCCAAATAAAATAAAATTCTCATTGTTTTATTTTTTTAATAGTATTATTTTAAAAATTAATTTTATATTTAAAATATCACATTGAAATTTATATATATCATATTAAATAATTATTTAAAATTAAAATTTATATTATACAAAACTTTAGCACAGGGTTTATCCAGAGCGTAGCGGTAAGTGTCCACGTTACAAAAAAGTAAAAAAAAAAATTCATATGCCAAAAAAGGGAGTAATAGAATATTTTCATTCAATCTAATTTCAAAAATTTGTCTCACAATTTATGTATATTATTCAATTTTACATTCCTGATGTTTCTATTTTATTTTATATTTTATACTCCCTCCGTCTCAATATAATAGTCTTATTTATCATTTTTGTCCATCCCAAAACAATAGTTTTATTTCCATAAATAATCATACCAACGTAAAATTACTCATACTTTTTCATTTTTATTACACAATTGTCACTACTTTTTACACTAATACACCACAAGGGCAAAAAAGTCTTTTATCCATACATTTTACCGATTATCAATATATATAATATCAATATTTCTTAAATACCGTGCCCAACCCAATTAAGACTATATTGACGATTGATTTGTAGATTTTTTGTTTAGAATTGCGGTTAAGAGGTTTCATTCATTTTGCAGCATAAGTATGATACGGAGTTGGTCTGGTTTCAGAAAATTATTTGTTCAAAATACAGCCGCGCCCACACACACACACACATATATATATATATATATATATATGCACCTTTTGAGCGTCGATCATACAACAAATTTCAAAATTAGGTACGAGACATAGTTTGGTTGTAAGTTGAGTTTTAAGTTGAAAATTGAATTGAAAAGAATTTATTTAATTAATATTTGATTTATTATATTACTTTCGTCCCATAAGAAGAATACACCGGCTTTTTGTATATTAATATTTAAATATTAATTATTATATCAATACGTAGTCCAAATAAATAAAATCGGCAAAAATACCTCTATTAGTTTTTTTGGGAAACAATCATTTTTTATTCCAATATAATTAAAATTCATCAATTTTGATTTCAATATAAAATATTATCAATTTTGATCCCAATATAACCAAAACTCATCATTTTATCTCAATATAACCAAAACTCATTATTTTTTGTCCTAATATAATTTTTTTTTATCAATTTTAGTCTCAATATAACCAAAACTCATCATTTTTGGTCTCAATATAATCAAAACTTATTTTTTTTTATCCCACCGTCAACAAACCGACGGAAAATGCTGCAAGATTGTGCAATTTCTTCAAATATAAATATAAAGTTTGATTTCTTTTTACGTCAGCATATTCCGTCGGTTTGTTGACGGTGTGGGACAAAAAAAAATAATGTTTGATTATATTGAGACAAAAAAAGAGAATGTTTGATTATATTGGGAAGTTTTGGTTATATTGGGACTAAAATTGATAAAATTTTTATATTAGGACCAAAAATAATAAGTTTTGGTTATATTGAGACCAAAATTAATAAAACTTTTATATTGAGACCAAAATTGATGAATTTTGGTTATATTGAGACAAAAAATGATTTTTTTCCTAGTTTTTTATAATACAACTATAATGACATTTGGGGAGTAAATTATGCAAATATAAAGATGTTTTCAACGTTAAGTACAATGACGTAAAAAAACAAATATTGTTCTTTTAATGGGACATAGGTAATATAATATATACGATTAAAAATTTAAAACATGTACATATTATATTGTAATAAAATATAAAAATATATGAATATTATTTTTTAAAAAATAAAATTTATATAACATAAAAAAATATATAAATCTTTATTTATGATTAATATAACTTAATTTTATGAAAAAAATAGTAAAAATTTGAATGTATGTAACTATATTTATTTATTGAAATGAGATATACATAAATAATATTTTGTGAATTCAAGAATGAGAAAATGGTAAAAAGGAAAAAGAAGTATACTGAATTATTAGTCTTCTAAATATTACAATACCAAAATATATTTTGTATGTCACAATTCACTATTTCACCACATCACGGCTTCATAAATTTCTATTTGACCGAGTCGTAATGACTTGCATTTTATGGAAACCCTAACAAAATATATTTTATTCATTTTACAATTTCGCTAAAAACATCTTATACAAATTTTATATTATCAAATATTATGTCACGTGTCATTGAATGTCAACAATGTGTAGATTTGGCAAGATGTGAAATTCACTTGCATTTAATATATTAAAATAGCAAAATTATGATACTTTAGAATATATTTTAATTTGTTAAAATGACAATTATAGTACAAAATTGATAATTAGATATGTACCAAATATTTTTTTGCAATTTTTGGTAATGTTACGTACTATTAAAAAAAGAACATAATGTCGACGGAAATTGGGAAAACTAAACACAGTTTTTAACATGCTACAAGATCAGCAACAATAAAGACAACCTCCCGATCAAATTTCCGTCGGTAACTTGAAACGACAAAGAGGGCAATAATGGCTCGTCCCCAGCCACTTCTGTATGCAACATCCGTGGAACAAATGCGAGCACGGCATCCTTGTCGCTTTGCCACGGATCACTTCCAAGCAAATAGTGCAAGTCTCTTCAGAATCATTTGCCACCGCAGCCTCTTTCAACGACGACTCAATGGAAAACTCGGCAGCGGGAACCATGTGTGCCTCCGCTTCCTGGGAAGACTGCAGAAGCGCCAAATCCATATCCTCGCGCCCTTCTTCCACGAAATGGTTAAGAGTGATCGTAACCGGGCAGTGTATCCAAATTTTGTCGTAGTCATTATTCGAACTCAGAGGCCTCGATCTAAGGGCTGAAATTAGATGATCCACTGCAGATTCGATCACGTACGTTTGTCCCTCAGCATTAATAGGCCAATGCATGAAGGCAGTGTTGGCAGTTCGCCGAAATTCTTCAATGAGTTGATCGGCAGTGTTGGAGATTTCAATTTTATTTCTATTGATCGAGATTCCAATCGACGGGATGGGCTGCTGGAAAAAGCGACCCGTGTACATCGGCTCGGCGTCGGATTCTTGGTTAGCCATCAAAATTGATTGGTCGATAAAGCACCTGCAAGTGAATGAAAATTCAACGTTGAGTTGCGTCGAGCCCAAAATAAAACGACCATAAACGGTCTCGGGGGTTGTTGTTTGGCCCATGATTACGGATTCCTGCTCGAAATAATTTACCAATTGCGCCATGAGATTGTCAAGATTCTTGGAACAAGTTTCGAGTAGATAAAGATTTTTTAAAATTTCGGAAATAGTAGAAATTTAGATATTTGATGCGATAAGATCAGAACTTTTAAAAGTAAAAGTGTTTATGTAAATACAGTCGACAATCAAATGAATGCATACAATGAGAATGAGTATGTGTAATTGGGTGAATATATATAAGGATAAATTGGTTGGTACATGAAAATTAGATTACACTATAGCCTGATTTTATTTTTTGATTTGGATTTGATTGTTTTTTTATTCAGATATTTTTTAAAATATATATATATATTAGATTAAATACTCAATTTTTAAAAATTATAATAGAAATTATTTTACTTTGAAATATTAGGTTAATATTTATTTATATCTAATTTCAATTCAATATTTTAATAAATTATAAAAATATTAGGAAACAATCTACTTAATCTTCTACAATTTCAAATTTAAAATTAAAAATAAAAATATAATAATTTTTCTTCCAAAACATCATATTTTTTTAAATATTTTAACCCTAAACCCTGATACCATTTGTAACAAGTCCGTCGCCCAGGCCCAAGCCAGCCATCTCTTGGGCGCAACAACAAACTTGGGTATTACCGTATAATGCGGGTTAAATAAGACGGGACGCGAACTTGCATCAAGATATATGCCGTTGATTAATTGTATAGGATTGGGGTTCGCACACATGGGACGGACTATAGCCGAGAACCTGGGCAAAAATGTCAGTTCATGACACTCTTCCCCACTCCAAGTCGCAAATGCCCTCGCGTGACGCTACTTGAGTGCACCGACGTTAATTCCTGCACGTTGGGCAACGTCCAAGCGTCACTCCATTGACCCTTTTGCGTGTACCCCTTTGTGCTCACCAACCGCCAGCAAGGTTTGCCATAGCCGATCTTGACGGTGGTGACGAACGAAGCGGACGGATGAACAGTTCTTCAGGGAGGAGCATGCTGAGGGCATGACAAAGGAAGAGCATATCTAAGCGAGGCTGGACATTCCAGAGTGAAGTGCTCCTTGAGAAGGAGATCTTTTCATTTTCGTCTGTTACACTTATTTGGTAATTTTTTTTTAAAAAAAAATATACACTTCATTCTCATTTTAATATTTTTTTAATCTATTATTTTTTTAGATTTTAACCAGACTAATTAGTATCTTAATCTTAATCTAATTTTTTTATTATACTATTATTATTTTTACTAATACATTCTTAATCATTTACTAATTATACCCCTACTAAATTCACGTGTATACAGTAAAAGGACACCGTAGCCGGGAAGGAGAGACTAGTATTTAAACAAAAATTAAAATAAATATCTATTCCAAATTAGTTTCAAACTACAACGTAACAAACCCAAATCAATCATTTTCGTCATGGTGATTACTTTATTGTCGCTGCTATTTATTCTAATTTGGGACAAGGACATGTTTATTTGTTTGGAATTACAAAGGAAATTTAGTCTATTTTTCTTTTGTGTTTCTTTGGATTGCTTCTTAATTTCGATTCATTTCCTTTGTCTTCTACATTATTTTCGAATTAAGAATTTCTACATTATTTTCGAATTAAGAATTTATCGTATTTCTGTCCGTCAATTTGGATGAATGAAGGTGATCAACACGTTGCCAGATTTTTTGAAGTACACCTTATGCCATTTTTTGGCAAAAGGAAAATTAATGGTATCACTCCCCACAAGGCCAATTCTGGAATTGGTTGTGAAAACACTTTGAGAGGATTATTTTAGAGAGAGAAATATGTACTTAAAGCTTTCACCCTTGTCCCTTGCTATCTTCATTTTTTGAATGTTTGTTTAACACTGAAATTTGCCGGAGGATAGAGTTATCGGAGTTTCAACCAGACAAGACGATCAACTTTGGGTTGCCTTATTCTGTAACTGTTGTCAATACGACTTTGTGACAACCAGTGCCTGTGAAGGTGTTCCAAAGTTATCCATTGTAGAAGAAATGGGTTGAATGAGTTTATGGTTGTTTTTGTACAATATTCAATATTGATTATAGTTGAACTACTCGAGTATTGAAACCCCCTAGATGTAGGTTGGTTTATACCCAAATTGAGCTAAAAATATGTCTCATTTATTACTTTGGTATTTTAGTTGAAAATAAGTTGTTATAACCGTAAGTTAACCACGCTTCAGGGAATTGACCAATTTCAAAGGACTTTCATTGTTCGATGACACAAATTATGGGAGTTGGAAGAACAAAATGGAAACATTCCTTCTGTCCCAAGGAGAAAATGTCTTCTAATTGTCATCCTAAAAAAATATATTTTGTATGTGTTACAATTTTGTTATTTTAGTATATTAACTGCCGTGAATTAATTTCTATCCGATTTAGTCGCAATAACTTGCATTTCATGAAAACCCTAGCAAAATATATATGGTACATGTCACAATTTTGCTAAATATATTCTATACAGGTTACAATTTTGCCAAAAATATTTTGTACATTTATATATACTAGATATTTTTTTTGAATTTTCGCGAATGTACCCTAATATTTTTTTTTGAAAAAAAGGAAGAACATAATGCCGATGAAAGTTGGGACAGCAACTAAACACAATTTTTAATGAGCAAACTTCATTTCAGTAAATAGCTACAATTCTCGATCAGCACAGCGACAATAAACAGGACCTCTCGATCAATTTTCGGTCGCTAACTCGAAACGACAAACAGGGCAACAATTGCTCATCCTCAGCCACTTCTTGACGCAATCTCCGTGGAACAAATGCGAGCACGGCATCCTGGTCGCTTTTCCACGCATCACTTCCAAGCATATACTGCAGCTCTCTTCCGAATCATTTGCCACCGCAGCCTCTTTCAGCGACGATTCAATCAAACCCTCAGCAGCCGGAACCATGTGTGCCTCCGCTTCCTGGGCAGACTGCAGAAGCGCCAAATTCATATCCTCGGAACGCTGCAGAAGCGCCAAATCCGTATCCTCGCGCCCTTCTTCCACAAAATGGTTAAGATTGACCGTAACAGGGCAGTGTATCCAAATTTTATTGTAGTCATTCGAACTCGGAGGCTTCCATCTAAGGGCTTGAATTAAATAAAGCACGGCGGATTCGATCACGTACGTTCGTCCCTCGGGGTTAATAGGCCAGCGCCTGAGCTCAGTGTCGGCTATTCGCAGAAAATCTTCGATGAGTTGATCGCCAGTGTTGGAGATTTCAATTTGATTTTTAGTGATCGAAATTTCAATAGGCGGTATGTGCTGCCGGATAATCTGATCCCAGTCGGATTCTTCGTTATCGGCCATCGAAAGCCCTTGGTGGATAAAGCACTTGCAAGTGAATTCAAAAGTAACGGTGAGTTGCGCCGAGGCCATCGCACAGCGACTATAAACGGTGTCGGCGGTTGTGATGTCGTCCATGGTTACGGATTCCTGCTGGTAATTATTTCCCAACTGCGCCATGAGATTGTCAAGATGAATTCTTGGAACAGAAGTTTTTGACGTTATGAGATTCTGAAAACTTCGAAGAGAATGAAAATGAGTACGTGTAATTGGATGAATATATAATAATAAATTGGCGGCAATCCGAATCTTAAAACCAACTACGGTTGATTTGATTTTTTTTATTCAGATTTTTTTTTAAAGAAAAAAAAATGTTAAATTAAATATTTTATTTTAAAAAACTATAATAAATAATTATTTTTACTTTCAGATACTAGGTAAATATTTATTTATATCCAATTTCAATTTAAAATTCAAAACTCAATTATTATTTCATATATATATATATATTTAAAGTATATGACCCAATTTGTATAATATTCTCCTCTTTCTAATATGGTGAGTCAGTGACATATTTACTGTAAAATAATTTAAGAGAAGTATAACTATTAAATAATTAAGAATTTATTAGTAAAATTAATTACAATATAATACAAATAATTATAAATTAAGTTTAAAATAATTAATTAGTTTAATAAAAATCAAAATTATAAATAATTTTAATTAAAATATAAAATACTTTTCTAAAAAATGAAATTGACATAGTAGGTAAGACCGACAAATGAAGTGTTATTTTTTTTATATTTAATTTTTTAAATATAGGTTTTTTTTATTGGTTGTAAAAGTGAGGCCCTATACTTATTAAAGTTTAAATTTAATTTTCATTTAATTAATAACTTAAAACTGTTTGAATTCTTTTTTGGGGGCCAATTATAAACGATATTATCAACAAACAATACAATCTATGTAATCTTCAAAATTTATAGTATTGATGTTCGTCAATTTTACAACGTTGAAAATTTAGATCGTTCGAGGCTTAATCAAATAGGAGAAATTGAGAGATCTTGTTTTAGTTAAAAGTGATTTAAATAATTAATATTTGATTTATTATTTCATATAAATGATTAAAAAACTCTATTTAATTGTTTTAAAAAACATATCCAAATAAAAAATATATAATATGAATATTATTTTGTAAATAATACTCCTTCTGTCCCGTAAGTAAATATCTATTTGTTTTTTGCACGTAGTTTTAGAAATATTAGTATTATATTGGAATATAGTAGAAATAAAATACAAATGACTAAAAAAACCTTATTAGTATGTGTCATATAAAGGTAATGACATTTATGTAATATATTGTAAGTTTTAAGGGTATTTGTAATGTTAGGTAGATAGTACAGTTACTTTAAAAATGAAATAAATATTTTGTTATAGGAGACTAAAATGAAAAAATGGATTCTTTGTTATGGAACGGAGCGAGTAACATTTTCTATAATACAAATAAATAAAAAAATATAAATTTTTATTTATGATTAACATAAATTAATTTATAAAAATTTATAAATTTGAATATATGTAAATATATTTATTTATTGAAGAGAGATACAAATAAAAAATTTATATAAAATATATTGCAATTATACTTTTGTCTCGCAGTTTTTAACAAGGAAGCTTCGTTTCATTGAATAGCTACAATGTCGATCAGATCAACAACAATAAGCACGATCTCTTGATCAAATTTCCGTCGGTAACTTGAAACGACAAACAGGGCAATAATGGCTCGTCCCCAGCCACTTCTGTATGCAACATCCGTGGAACAAATGCGAGCACGGCATCCTTGTCGCTTTGCCACGGATCACTTCCAAGCAAATAGTGCAAGTCTCTTCAGAATCATTTGCCACCGCAGCCTCTTTCAACGATGACTCAATGGAAAACTCGGCAGCGGGAACCATGTGTGCCTCCGCTTCCTGGGCAGACTGCAGAAGCGCCAAATCCATATCCTCGCGCCCTTGTTCCACGAAATGGTTAAGAGTGATCGTAACCGGGCAGTGTATCCAAATTTTGTCGTAGTCATTATTCGAACTCAGAGGCCTCGATCTAAGGGCTGAAATTAGATGATCCACTGCAGATTCGATCACGTACGCTTGTCCCTCGGCATTAATAGGCCAATGCATGAAGGCAGTGTTGGCAGTTCGCCGAAATTCTTCGATGAGTTGATCGGCAGTGTTGGAGATTTCAATTTTATTTCTATTGATCGAGATTCCAATCGACGGGATGGGCTGCTGGAAAAAGCGACCCGTGTACATCGGCTCGGCGTCGGATTCTTGGTTAGCCATCAAAATTGATTGGTCGATAAAGCACCTGCAAGTGAATGAAAATTCAACGTTGAGTTGCGTCGAGCCCAAAATAAAACGACCATAAACGGTCTCGGGGGTTGTTGTTTGGCCCATGATTACGGATTCCTGCTCGAAATAATTTACCAATTGCGCCATGAGATTGTCAAGATTCTTGGAACAAGTTTCGAGTAGATAAAGATTTTTTAAAATTTCGGAAATAGTAGAAATTTAGATATTTGATGCGATAAGATCAGAACTTTTAAAAGTAAAAGTGTTTATGTAAATACAGTCGACAATCAAATGAATGCACACAATGAGAATGAGTATGTGTAATTGGGTGAATATATATAAGGATAAATTGGTTGGTACATGAAAATTAGATTACACTATAGCCTAGCCTGATTTTATTTTTTGATTTGGATTTGATTGTTTTTTTATTCAGATATTTTTTAAAAAATATATATATATTAGATTAAATACTCAATTTTTAAAAATTATAATAGAAATTATTTTACTTTGAAATATTAGGTTAATATTTATTTATATCTAATTTCAATTCAATATTTAAGAAATTATAAAAATATTAGGAAACAATCCACTTAATCTTCTACAATTTCAAATTTAAAATTAAAAATAAAAATATACTATTTTCTCTCCTAAAACATCACATTTTTAATATTTTAACTCTAAACCTTGATACAATTTGTAACACGTCGGTCGCCCAGGCCCAAAGGCCCAAGCCGGCCATCTCTTGGGCGCAACAAACTTGGGTATACCGTATAATGCGGGTTAAATAAGGTTAACTTATGAGAATGAGTACGTGTAATTAATTGGGTGAACATATGAATATATAAGAATACATTCGCGGCAATACGAAACTTAAAACCAACTAAGCTCTGATTTGATGTTATGATTTGGATTAGATTTTTTTATTGAGATTTTTTTAAAAAAAGTAAGGTTAACTTAAGTATTTAATTTTTTAAAATTATACTCCCTTTGTCGCACATACCGCGTCTGCTACATTGTAGACACGGTATTTCAGGAGATGTGTAATTAGTAGATAATTAAGAATGTATCAGTGAAAATAATTATCCCATAGTATAAATAATTATAAATTAAGATTAAGATAACTAATTACTTTAATTAAAATTTAAAAAAATAAAATTAAAAAGTTTAAAATGATATTAAAGTGTGTAATCATTTTCCAAAAAAAGAAAGTGACATGATATGTGGGACGGACAGAAACGGCAACGTGGACATAGTAGGTGGGACGGAGGGAGTAATAAATAGTAATTATTTACATTCAAATATTAGTAAATATTTATTTATATCCAATTTTAATTTAAAATTCAAAACTCAATTATTATTTCATATATATATATAATTAAAGTGTATGGGGTCCACTTTAATTTGTATAATACTCTCCCATCCCTAATATGGAGACACATTTACTCTGAAATGATTTAGGAGATGATAGAATTAGCCAATAATTAAGAATTTATTAATAAATTATAATGTAAATAACTATAAATTAAAATTAGGATAACTGATTAATCTAATAAAAATTAAAATTATAAATTATAAAAAACTTTAATTGAACTTTAAAATACTTTTTTAAAAATAAAAGTTACATAATATGTAGGATATGCAAAAATAGAAAATTCGACATCGTGGGACAAAAGAAGTAGTATTATTTTTTACAATTTAATTTTTTAAATACTTGATTGGTTTTTTTTTTTTTTTTTATTGGTTGTAAAAGTGAGTCTGGATACTCATTAAAGTTTAAATTTAATTTTTATATACTTAATAATTTAAAACAGTATGAATTTTTTGACGGGGTCAATTATAAAAGATATTATCAACAAACAATACAATCTACGTAATCTTAAAAACGTATAGTATTTATGTTCATCAATTTTACAATATTGAAAATTTAGGTCGTTCGAGGCTTACTTCAACATGGACAAATTGAGAGGCCGTGTTTTAATTAAAAGTGATTTATTTAATTAATATTTGATTTATTATTATATATATATATGATTAAAAAAATTCTATTTAATTGTTTCAAAATTCATACTTCAATAAAAAAAATAGTATATAATATGAATATTATTTTGTAGATAATAATATTTTTTATAATACAAATAAATGAAAAAAATATAAATCTTTCTTTATAATTAAAGTAAATTAATTTTATGAAGAATTATAAAATTTTAATATATGTAAATATATTTATTTATTGAAAAGAGATACAAATAAAGAATTTTGAGTGAATTCAAAGATGAGAAAAATATCATATATTCCCCATTCCCAACTCAAAGTACTATTTTTACTATTTTAACCCGTCTCACTCCAAAGTATCAATTTCCTATTTTAGTAAAAGTAATTATACATCAATACCAAAATAACCTTAATTTTTACCTAAATTACAAACATACCATTACATGTACAGTTACTTTTTACGTAAAGTCAAATGGCAAAAATGTCAAAACTTCTTACGTACTTCCACTACCTAATAAAATAATATTATTTCTTAATCTACTACATAAAACCCCGAAGAGCCACTTAGACCAGGACGGAGAGAGTACATGTCACAATTTCGGTAAAAATATTTTGTACATTCATTACCAAAAAATGTATGTTTTGCTTCGAAAAATTGCTTCGAAAAATGAACGATTTCCAAACCTATTTCCCATTAGCCTTAGACATAGTCTTGGAAACAGCTCCGAGACTGATTTTTCACGGCTATTTGTGTAGTCTCAAAATTTCCGAGACTAATTCGGATAGTTTTGGAATTTCCGAACAAAGATGCTTTGGAAATGATAGCAACGCGTGGATTTGGCAAGATATGAAATTCACTAGCTTTCAATGTATTGAAATAGCAAAAATTACGACACTTTAAGATATATTTTGCTAAAGTAAAAATTAAAATACAAATATTATTTAAACATTATGTACGAGATATCTTTTTGTAATTTTTCAGATGTAATATAATATTATAAAAAAAAGGAACATAATGCTGATGAAAGTTGGGACATCAAGTAAACACAATTTTTAACAAGGAAGCTTCATTTCATTAAATAGGTACAATGTCGATCAAACAATAAACACGATCTCTTGATCAATTTTCCGTCGGTAACTCGAAGCGACAAACAGGGCAATAGTGGCTCGTCCTCAGCCACTTCCTTACGCAATCTCCGTGGAACAAATGCGAGCACGGCATCCTAGTGGCTTTTTCGCGCATCACTTCCAAGCATATAGTGCAAGTCTCTTCCGAATCATCCGCCGCTGCAGCATCATTCAGTGACGACTCAATCGAATCCTCGGCAGCCGGAATCATGTGTGTTTCCTCTTCCTGCAGGGAAGACTGCAGAAGCGCCAAATCCAAATCCATATCCTCGCGTCCTTCTTCCACGGAATGGTTAAGAGTGACCCTAACAGGGCATTGCATCCAAATGTGGTCGTAATCATTCGAACCCAGAGGCCTCCATCTAAGAGCTGAAATTAAATTATCCACTGCGGATTCGATCACGATCGTGCGTCCCTCGGCGTTAATAGGCCACTGCATGAGCTCAGTGTTGGCGATTTCCTGAAATTCTTCGATGAGATCATCGACAGTGTTGGAGATTTCAGTTCGATCTGTAATGGTCAAGATCCCAACTGGCGGAATGGGCTGCTGGAGAATCCGACCCCTGTGCGTAGGTATGGTGTCGGATACTTGGTTATTAGCCATGAAAATGTTTTGGTGGATAAAGCACTTGCAAGTGAATATAAAACTAACGGTTAATTGCGTCGAGGGTATCGTAGAAAGACGATAAGAGGCGTTGGAATCTGTTGTTTGGTCGATGATTACGGATTCCTGCTGGAAATTACTTCCCAATTGCGCCATGAGATTGTCTAGGGTTATTAGAAAAAAGGTTTTTAAAGTTATGAGATTTTGATAATTTCAGAGATAGTAAAAATTTACGTATTTGATGGAACAGGGCGAGAACTTTCAAAAGTAAAATTGTTTATGTAAATAGAGATTTGGGAATGAAAATATTCGAAAATAAATGAATGCATATAATGAGTATGCGCAGTTGGGTGAATATATGAATATATATATATGTATATATATAAGGATAAATTGGCGGGAAGATAGAAAATTAAAATCTACAACAACCTAATTTTATATTATGATTTGGATTTGATATATATTTTTTTAATTCAAATATTTTTTTCTCAAAAAATATATATTTTTAAAATTATAATAAAAACCATTAATCTTTAAATATTAGGTTTATATATATTTATTTGAAGTATACGTACGACTTTGCATATATATATTTTTTTTTAATTTTATTTTTTAATATTAGATTGGTTTTCTTTTTGTTTTTGTTTTTTTTTTATAAATGGGAACTCGCACTGGACTTAGACAAGACAAATCGTACTAAACGAATAGGCGTCAGAGTTTTAACTCATCACCTTACGATTACAAATTTTCTCACCACACCCAGGCCCGTTCCTAACATATCAAAGGCCCGGGGCAAAACTAAAAAATGAGGCACCTACCAAATATTTTTTTTTAAAAATAAAAAATAATTATTATTAAAAAATCAAAAATAGCAATATTTCAGTTTTACAAAATATGTTTAATGCAAAACAAATTAAACATTAAACAATACAACTCAAAACTATTAATATTTTAGATTATTTCACCAACTTCATACATATTGCCGCCGCCGTGCTATCATATTTTGTTTGCTATTTTGTGTGAGCTATTTTAATTGTATGTCTGCAGAATATAAATAAAAATACATAAGTATTACATAAAATTACTTCTCCTAGCATTTTTTGATGCAAAATCATTACTAATATTATCAACATCAATGGTTTCTAACATTTCTTTTTTAATAGATAACATAGCTAAACCATTCAATCTTTCTTGCGACATAGATGATCTCAAATAAGTTTTTAATTTTAATTTAAAAAAACTTCTTTCAGCAGATGCTACTGTTACAGGAACTGTTAATAAAATTCGATAAGCAATCGAAACATTTGGATAACAATCAGCAGCTCTAAGATATTCAAGAATTTCAATAGACGAATTTAAGTTATCCGGTAAAGTAACTTGTAAAACTTTTAATTCAATAATAAAATTTTCTAAATCAACATCACATAAATCATTATGAGATAAACTATTTAAAAAAACAACACTCCATTTTCTAAGTTCAATCATCATTCAAAGATTTAAACTTTTTAGAATTAAACAAAAACCCAAAAATACTATTATACTTACTTAATTGTTCAAATCTCTCATTTAAGGATGTAATAGCCATATCAACAATAACCAGAAAATAATTAATCTTAAATTGTTCTTCATCAGATTGTATTACATCTTCATTTTCATTTTCATCAAACTATTTTTTTCTATAAATATGTCGTTTTTTTTTTTTTGAAAATTTACATTCAACATCCATATTAAAAGCAACTTCTTTAGCTTTCTCTAAACTAGAGTCAAATCCAACATTTCTATAATTTTTAAAATATTTTATAACATCTTCTATTTGTTTGACAGCAGTATCAGCACAAACTAATTTAGATTACAATGTTTTATTTACAATATTAATTACAGATGAAATATCATACTAAATTACTATACCAAGTAAAAATTCATAGGACTCGAGAGCATTTAATAAACTTTCAGCTTCGCTTTTTGACTTGGCATCACTACATGAATTATATAAATCCATTAAAGCTAATCAAATTTGAGGAGTTTGAAATCTAATAGCTTTAACACTTTTAATTCTACTTTTCCATCGAGTATTTGACAAGGATTTTACCGTTAAACAAGATATATTGTTAAGCAAAAATTTCCATCTTTTTGTAGAACTTGAAAATAGTATATATATGCGTTGTATAACTCCAAAAAATGATATGACTTTCACACAAGAGTTTGCCATATCACAAAGAGTAAGATTTAGACTATGACAAGCACATGGCATATAAAAAGCCATATGATTGATATCAAGTAATCGTTTTTGAACACCTTGGTGCTTACCTTTCATATTAGAACCATTATCATAACTTTGGCCTCTAATATTAGCAATATCAAGATCAAGAGATTTAAGCGTATTTACTATTTCATTAAAAAGTTCTAACCCACTTGTATCATCTACTTTTAAAAACTCTAAAAAATATTCTTCAATTTTTATCATACTATTTGACATATTTACACAACGTATAATCAAAGTTATTTGCTCAAGATGACTAACATCTAAGGTACATTGTTATAGGACGGAGGGAGTATTATATTTATGATAATTATCTTATTCAGGAGATATGTAGAATTCTTTTATTATTTAAATGATTTGCACGTCATTGTAAATATAAATATATATGAATTTTATTATTGAAATAGAGAATTTCAATTTATTATATTCTAACATCGTATCATAGTCAAATTATCTTTGGGTATATCTATAACCCATTATATCCCATATATATTTTTATATATTTTATTGATGTATTTGCTTTTATCTACGATCATTCTGTTATTTTCATGCCGTCTCCGTCTCTACTATTTCGATCTCCACTGACATAGTTCTACTTTCAACTCTGACGCTGTTGAGAGTCCTGTTTTCTGCTTTAACTCTATTGAGAGTGAGTGAGTCATGTTTCCGACCCTAGCTCTGTTGTAAGCGAGCGAGTCATGTTTCCGACTCTAGTTCCGTGAACGATTGAGTCATGTTTCCAACTCTAACGGTGTTGAGTTTTGATTCTGACTCTAATCCCGTGGACGGCTACACCATTTTCGGCCAATCTTGGCAAATTCAAGTTCGTTTGTGGAAGATCTCGACTATATCTTTTTTTTTGTCACTCCTGACAAACTCAAATTTATTCGATCATATCTTGAGTTTGGGGAGACATGTTAAAATGTATTTAGAATATATATTATATTTATGATAGTTATTTTATTTAAGAAATTTGTAGTATTCTTGTATTATTTAAATGATTTATATCGCATTATAAATATGTACGAATTTTTGATTGAAATAAGAGAATTTCGGTTTATTATATTCTAAGATATTCGAATTCGCTTTCGCTAATTGGTTTATATAATTTTATACACGAATCATCCAACACATACAACAAATCAAATAAATATCTCATAAACACATGTAAAAAAAGAGAACGAAAAAAAAAGTAGAGAGATAAATTCGAAGATCAAATCGAATAAAAAGCAAAGGGTAAGAACTAAGCTAATGTAAAACATTATATATGCATACATATTTATTTATTTATTCATTATTTAATTGTTACAAAAGGCCACCGAAGAATATTCAATTCAACGAAAATAAGATGATGTATATAAGAAGAAAAAAACATAAAAATATGTAAATACGATAGATAATAAAAATTTATATAATTATTTTATATTTTTACAATAATAATAATTATTATTATTATTTTATAATATTTGAATGGAAGTTGTTGTATATAAATACAATGTTGTTTTAATTAATATTTTGAGAGAAAAAATATTATATTTTTATTAAAATTTAATCATGATAAATTAAAGTTAAAATTATTTAAATGCTTAATTTTCTTTCAATGATTATTACATATTTAAAGTGTTCGTTATATAGATAGACAATATACACTATTGAGAAAAGGGAGGAATTGACATGAAAGTTGTGTAGCTAAGTGTCACGGATGCATATAAGTCGCCCGATAATTAATGGTATTAATATTAATAAAATATTCTTTTTTGCTATTATTTATTTATATATTAAAATTATTTTTTCATTTAAGCTCTGAATGGTAAGGTGCAAATATTGGTGGTCTTATTTTCTATTTTCTCTTTTAATTAAAAATGGATGCGCCTATGGTCATTTTAGAAAAAACAAAAAAAAGAAAAATGCCAAAATTGGCTCCTACAATTGTTTATTATTATTATTATTATTTTTTTTAAGAATGAAAAATTAAAGTGCTTAAATTTAAAAGTATTTTTGAAATAAAAATTACACATCAGCACACGATCCTCTTCCAAAATCACAATGAGGCGTGGGTGTCCGTATCTCAATTCTAATTATCAATTTTAAAAATAAAAAAGGATGAGATATGATTTTTGTGCTTCATTTCTATTTTTATTTTTCAAAAATAAAAAATAAATTTGAGGAGTCTTTTTCTACTCTTCAATTATAATTACACCCTCCCCTCTATATTAGCGAGCAATTTGTAATAGATAAAAAATAATAATATATTATTAGTTACTGAAATAGTAAGAGGTTTTGATATTTTTTGCTCTTTGACTTCAAATATAAAATAATTATATTTGTAATTTAGGTAAAAGTTGAATGTATTTTAGTATCAGTGTACATTTATTTTATCTATAATAAGAAATGAATACTTATAGTAAGAAGAGTACTGTAAGTTGGGAGAAAAGGAGTATTATTTTAGCAATATTTAAGAAAATACATATGAGAATAAAATTGACGATGATGTTATTTGAAGGATCATCAGTCGTCCACCTGTATTGACTGCATAATCAAACAAAGGCTGCGGATCCCGTTCCGATGGGTTTTTCTTCCCTCTATATCCATCGTCTTCAAATTGCCTAGTGTGTTTGTGATCGATTTGAGATAGTTAATTGTAGTAAAAATATATATATATATATATATATAAAGTTAATATAAAAAGTGCAAAAATAAAATAAATAAATAAAAGAAAAACAAATGTTATAGAATAGAAATTCAAAATTTTGAAACTATCAATAAGAATATGCCACATGCGATCGGCCTGCATGGGCCGTTCATGCATGCCCGTGGTACAAAAACCGCAAAATTTTGAAATATAAGAAAATATTTTACCAATGACATAAGTATAAGACAAGTGATAATTGAGGAT